AATTTTGGTATGACTTTGAATTTTGACATAACTTTGAATTTCGACATAACTTTGAATTTCGACATAACTTTAAATTTTGACATAACTTTGAATTTCGGCATTTCGACAATTAAATTTTATTTGTCGAAATAGTATTTAATAATTTCAGCTTGACAGGTTGCTGAAATTCCTGAATTTCGGCAAGCATCCTTAGGTATATATATTATATAATTATTAAAGAGAGGAGTAAGATCTCAAAAATCTCATCTTCTATGTGATCAAAAATAATTAACCAATTAGAATATAATAAAATCTCATTTGAAAGAGAGAGAAAGATTAATTATATAATATATATTACTCTCCTAATAAAATTAATAATAAATATATTAGTTTTTTATATTTATTATTTTATTATAATTTTATTATTTAAAAGTAATATAATTATTTATTTATTAATAATTCTATTATTAAAACAAATATTTATTTTTAATAATTTATTTCAAAAAAATTCTAAAAATAAAACAAATAATAATAATAATAACAATATTTTTTAATAAATCAAATTTTTAATTAAAATTGAATTCTTGAACTAGATTTTAATCAAATTTAGTTTAATTTAAGCTTGAACTAAAACAAACTTTTTTTAATATTATAATTAAATTTTTTATAGTTATTATTCTTAAAAAAGCAAAATTAAATGATTATAATCAAATTTTTTTATAGTTATCAAATTTTGCTTCCCAAAAATAATAATTATAAAAATATTTAATTATATAAAGAAAATATAATAAAAAATAAATTTTTTATTATATTTATATTATTATAAATTAAATTTTACTCTTTAAATTATCAAAATCTTATTAAATAATTATATTTTTTTATTTTATTAATTAAAACTTTATTATTCTTATTGAATAATTATATTTATTAACTAAAATATTCTTTAAATATTTATTTAAAAATTTAAATATTAATTCAAAAATATATTCAAATATTAATTTAAAGATTTATTTAAATATTAGTTTAAATATTAATTTAAATCTTAGCTTAGAAAAATTATTGAGCTTTTTAATTAAGTTTTTTATTAATTAAATTCTTAATAATTAAGTTTTTTTGAAAAAATTAATAAATAATATAATATTAATTTAAATTTTTTTATTATTTTAATTTAGTTTTATAATTAAATTTTTTTATAGTTATTATTCTTAAAAAATCAAAATTGGATAATTCTAAAGAGAATATAATTATAAAATAATTTTTTTATTATATTTATATATAAATAGAAAAGCAAAATAGAATAATTATAAAATAATATAATTATAATTATAAAAAGATTTAATTATATTTAGTTTTATTTAGTTTTATTAGATTTTATTTATAATTTTATATTATTTATTTATGATTTTCTAGCTTAATTATACAATTATATTTGTTATTATATTAATAATCTCTTATTTAATTGCAAAGATATATTTGTTAGTTTATTAATAATCTTTGAATTAATTTAATAGAACAAATTATTAATAATATTTTACTTATCTATAAATTATTTATAAAAGTTATAATTATATTTATTTTTATTATTTATCTTTATTAAAAAGATTTTTGAGCTCATTCTAGTTATTTAAAATACAAATATATATTATCTATCTTTAAAAACAATATCAATTCTTATATTTATAGTTTTAATTATTTATACTATCTTTTTAATATTATGTGTTTTATATAAAAAATATAAAATCACATAAAATGATAATAATATAAAAATATAATTATTCTTTTTCAAAATTAATTATAATAAAAATATTTCACTATAAATATAATTATTATAAAATTTCATTATAAGCAAGCATATTTATTATAAAATTTCATTACAAGTACATTTATGAAAAAAATTTTTATTGAATTCAATAATGTACATGTAACGTTAATATATAATAAATATTAATCAAATCAAATTTTGATATATAATAATGTGATTTTTTAGTCAAAAATTTTGAATTTAAATTAATATGATTTGTAAAATAAAATAGAGAATATATTTAACGTTAATATATCTTATAACATAACGTTGAAAATTATTCTGATCAGAAATCTAGATAAAAAGTTATTAACTGGTAAATTTTTCTTAAGTGAAGAATTTGAAATATATAATTCCAGTTGGTATTACAATTGTTATGTCACAATTCTATAATGTACGAAACGTTATACTTGGTAGCATTGCAATTATACATGAAAAGGTTTTGCAAGAAACAATTCCACGTGCATTAGATTTAGTTTCTTTAAATCATATACGAAAATATGCAAAAACCAGCAAATTTTATGAAATGTTATCAAAAAGGAAGTTGGCTAAAGCCTGGTGAACATGTGACTCAATTTCTCTATATTTTCCGCGTGCAACCGATAAGATTAGAGTAAGGGTAAGGGTTAAAATTAGAGGACAATTTTACATATAAAATTGCCTTCCTAACATTTTTAATTAGTATTCCAAGACAGGTTTAAGCATCGGGTTTCTTGTAATATTCACATTTCTCGCATTTCTCATATCTTGTGTCGGATTTGTTTTGCCGGGTTGATCAAAAATTTGTGCATTCTTATTGGTGATTGACAAATCATATCAAGCTTTTCCAGAATTTATTTTTAGCCAATCATAAATCAATAATATAATAATAATCACGTGATTTTTCCAAAATCTCGATTTGGACATTTGTAATAGTTGTGTTTCCAACTATGTTTATTTGATAATCCATCGTCAAACACGCGTTTTGTCAATATTCTTTTCAAAACTTGAATCTTTTTACTTGTGAACCTTGATTGACTTTACTTGTGTCAGGCAGAGCTAACAAAAAATCTAAATTAAAAGAACGCGTTAATTTGTTATTATTAATATCAAATAATAGATTAGCACATTTACTTTCTCTAAAAAAAGGTTTTTAGTCCTCAAAACAATGTCGTTCTTACTCAAAGAGGATACCCAACCGATGACCGACCCTTCAGACTGGCCGCCACACCCCGAATACCGACAACTCGACTTGCTTTTTCGATGTTCAGTCTGCTTTGAATTCTTCCAGACGCCAATGATGGCTAAATGCGGGCACGTCTTTTGCGCAAATTGTATTAATGCATGTATCATTAGAGACCCGGGGTGTCCGCTTTGTCGTACGACATGTTCTCTTGACGACCTTAGGAAAGATATTGTTCTTCAAGATATAGTGAATCAGTATATTATGATTAGGTGGGTTACTTATTAGTTTTATAAATCAGTGAATCGTTTTTTGAAAATTGACATTTTTCCGTTATTATATATAGACCAGAACTATTGAAAATTGTCACAGAATACTCGATGTTAAAGAACGCCAATAAGTCAGAGATGGTGCATCCCGTCGAGTTAGGAAAATCAATAACAATCGCAGAAGCATCAAATTCTCCATTGTCGCCACCAACTTCATTAACAGTTTCTACCTCATTGCCACCATCGATCTCATCAGAATCGTCACCTGAAGTGGAATACCTTTTCACAGTCTTCCGAGATGTAGCTCCTCCCCTTGAAAATAAAGCAGTGCTGTCTACTTCAACTCATCATCAAACTCATCATCAAACTCCTGTAACTAACAAGTATGTGATTTCACCATTTTTTATTTTTCTCTAATACATTCCACTAGATTTCTAATTCATTGATCTTTTCTATAATTTGAAATCTTGGTGTGATTGTTATAGCAGTAGTATCAGCAGCAGTAGCAGCAAAGTCATTATCTCAAAACCCGAGATAAGGAAAAAACCAAAGCTCGTCTACTCGCTCGTGAAAGAACAAAAATTACGCGAGCTACTTAAGGCGAGTACAAACATGTAATTTAAGTATTGGAAAGTATATATACTTCTCGTAATCAGTCTAATTTTGTATAATAAAAAAATGTATCAATACAGCAAGAGGGCTTATCAACAATCGGCAGCAAAGCAGAAATGATTAAAAGACACGCGGAATACGTAAACCTCTATAACGCGAACGTGGACGCCACAAATCCGAAATCTCATCGCGAACTCTTGTCTGATATGAGGATTTGGGAAACAGCCCAAAGAAACAACAAAAAACGGAATACAAATTCCTCGGTACAACACCATCTTAACAAATATCAAGATCAGTTTAACGAATTAATTTCCAAAGCCAGACAAAATTTGGGTCAGATACAGTCTTTATCATCATCAGTGTCAACTACTTATTCAAGTCGAAATGATTATAGTCAATCATCATCACTATCTGCTTTGGGTTCTCGTCAATTTAGCAATCAGCCACAAATTGGCACTTCATTAAGAGAAAGGATCTATAATCTATCAAAAATTATTAATGGTCAAAAACAATCTGTTGTTGCCTCGTCTTCCTTATCTCCTCAAGAACAATCTTTCTTGTCATTATCTGCATCCTCTTCGTCTCCGCCGCGATCCACCAATAATATGAAAAGCCAACCAGGAAGTCGCGTTTCGACTCCACAATATCATGGCAATGTGGCAGCCTCTCCACGAGGACCGAATAATCGCATGGCATCATCTGCTTCGTCTTCATCGCCTATCAAATAATTGACTATGAGTTGGCAATCAAAGACAAGCACATGAAGGATAAGTATGATTATATTAAAAATTCCAGACATTATATATATATATATACTTTATTCTTATCCATTCTTATAAGATATTAATTTTATTTCGTTCAAAAATCAATATATTTTATTTCCATTGCACGTGCCGTACATCATTAACATCATAATAGATTGGATTATTCACCTAATTGTAAATAAATAAAAATTGATATCGGTTCTATTTTTAATTCTATCAAAATAAAATGTTTTCAAAATCCTATTAAAATAATTGTAAGAAACATTTGTTAATAATAAAATATAAGCGAGACACACATCTCAAAAATGATATACTTACCATATTTAGCCTGAGTTTCTCTTTTCGTCTTTCGATTATTGGCATATTGTTCTTTGAGTTCATTTTCCATCACTGTTGCCTGATGAACCAAGTACATGAGATTGTGCTTACGTTTTTGACCTTTTGATGGTTTTAAATGCTATTTTGGTAGACAAGAATGTTAGTTGGTCCAATACTCTAAATATAAACTAATTAGTGTATTAATAATAAATGACTATTACCGAGTAAGCACCACTCGACACTTGCCCAGGTTTCGTTAATTGCGCCATCTGTGAGTGCCATGCATCGTCACCCAGTTGATCACGCGCGTCAATCTCTTTTATTTGTATTGCACCTGCTTCACGTTCTTTTTTGTTTCTTCGTCCTCCTAATTTTGCTATCTTTAAACATGAGAGATCGTAATGAATATCAAATATCCGAGAAAAACTTTACTTCATCAAAAATTGGAGAAAGAATTTCACTTACTATTTCTTCATTTAATGCAATTTCTGATTCTTCTTGTTGCTGTTGTAGCTGCCATGAATCATCAACACCACTTACTCCTGCTCCATAAGATGCAGAAGCAGTATACATATAACTATTGTCCTCCGTCCATTGATCCCCATAATAATATTGTTCATTATTATTAATAGTCTGTATACTAGTATGATCAGTGGGTGATTCTTCCCCAGTCATCATTGGTATCGACGAAGTTGATGATACATTATAATTATCATCATTTTCTCCTATTATCGGATTCGTTGAAATGATTGTGCTTGAAATCGATTCGTATTTATTTTCTACAATGTTTGAAATTTCTGGGCCTAAAATTCAGTCAATATTTTATTATTTTTATCAAAGTTAGAAATAAAAAACTAAAAGTACCTAATGGAAAGAATGATATCTCCTCATCATTTTGTGATGATTCATCGTTTTTATCTTTAGTTGGTTTTGCAGCAGTAGCAGATTTTTGCCTTGACAAAGTATGCGGAACAAAACTTGTAGTTTTTACTGTTTTCACACTAGATTCTTCGCTTTTATTATTATTTTTATCAACCTTTGAAGATATAGGTCTTGTAGGAGCAGGCAATAGTGAAAATAAGCCTGATCTACCACTCGTTCCAAACTTTAACCTTTTTGCCTCTCTTTCTTCGTCACCACTATCACTATCTAAATTGTCTTTTTCCGAAGGATTTGGCAAATCGACAAAAATTTTAACTGGTCCTTCAGCTCTTTTCTTGTTTTTTGACGAGGTAGTATTAACACTGGTGATGGTTGCTGTTACTCTGTTCTTTGGCGGCGGAAGTGTAGAGCACAAGGTATTTTTCTTCTCAGATGTACTAGGTTCTAGCGTTTTTTGTGTTTGTTCACTAATGGAAGCTTCTTCTCGTTCAGATCCAGAGTCTGAATCATAATCTGCTACTAAAGACATTTTTGTATTAAAAAAGATAAATGTGGTTTTTGCGAGTAAATAAGCATATACACGTGGAATCGTGTTGATTCGATATCTACACACGATCTGCGAAGTTTCCTAAACATCTATTTTTATTAAATCCGAAAAATTATATGAATCGTGTAAAGAGCAAAAAATAAAAATGCCATCAATGGAAATTTTCTTTTATCTTTATTTGGTTTCTACCAGCCGTTCATTATACCACAACGCTAATAAAATAACAATGAGAAATTTGATGATGATTTTCTTTATCTTTCTTTCTATTAGTGACTCTGTAACCGTTCATTATACCGGAATGCTAATTAAAGACCATGCTGAATTATGAAAATAACGAATTTAGGACGTGATTCTTTGCTTCAAAGTTTTTATTATATATATACATAGAAAGAAACTAAATAACAGTAATGGAAAAATTAGCCTCAAAGAACTAAACAAAAAAAGAAAGTCATCGAATCAAGGTGAAAAAGGGAACACCCCAAGAGTAAGCCCCGTTGAGTTATACCCGTCGTTGTCGTTCTTAATGAACGAACAAACAAACAAGTACAATCGCATAACTGTGCTATGACCAACACGACCGGTTCGCATGCGACATCCGAGTCTCAGAATTTCAAAGAAACCCTATCGTTGACTCGTACGTTATCTCTAACGGGATGACATTGCGCAAACAATCGGCTTTTACCGCATTATGGGCGACACTTTCTGCCACGTGTCCGGGGACTTTCCCCAAAGCTTTTTTGGTAAAAGAAAGTAAAAAAATTGCTTTCTTTTGTATGTGATGCTTCGATCGCGATTCTTTAGGGTGTTCCCGAGGTTTTTTTTGATCGATCGATAGAAAGAGGTGTTGTGGTGAAAAGGGATAAGTTTTGTCGCTAAAGGGAGTAAGTGAATATTTTGGATTTTAGGATATTCATTCTTTTTTTAGTAATCTAATACTATACAAGGGATAAAAAGTAAAAGGCTATAATAATATCTATAGACGAAATGAAGGTCCTAAATAAAAATTTCAGGAGTCTTGTCAAGTATGTCGTGCTAAAAATAGTAAAATAGTATAAATAGTATATAGTTTTTTTTTTTTGATAACTGTTGATATCACAAACCTCTTCGAATTTGAAGTTAGCAAACAACACGTAGTTTAAAGACCTATATAAAAAGAAAACATTTTTAAGAGAATAAAGAAAAGTTTTTTAGTTCGTCTATCACTACGTATTTAAATTATACATGTTTCACATCTTATACAAATATTGATGATCTGAACCAATAAATGAATAATATCGACGCGCCAGAACGTGAAAACTCGTTTTATTTTTTCTTTGACATACTTGTTAAATAAAAACTATATCTGAATTTATTTCTTCGATAGGATTCATTAATTATACTTTCCGTGGCAACGTAAAACATAAATGATCTTTTTATTACACTAAAAGCGAGCCCGTAACTGAAATATCCTATAATCAATTCATAACATAACAATAATTAAGAATAATTACTATGGCCTGTGATTTATCTGATCCGTCTATTATGAGAGCGTATGAAGAAGTTATTAGTATGCAGGATCCTACTAATTGGTGGGTTCTTCGTTTAGCTTCCAGTATCTTTTTGATTTTGCACTGTTTGACTAGTGTACGAATTCTGTGTTAGCCTTTCGAGAACGATTTTTCCTAAAATCTTACGAGTGTATTCAGCGCATATATTTCAAATTTTCCCTTTAGTATTTCGATAGTAATTGACGACGAATAATCATCCCACCAACAAAAAATCACTCAAAAGACTTTTTGCCTAAATATCGAAATTGATTCAACATCTTTTATTAATATTATTATTACTATTATTTTGATATTTTTGTTGCAGGCTTATTCTCGGCTATCACAACACGCGGAATAAAATTTCCCTTTACGCGAAAGGTTCCGGTGGTCTCGATGAACTTGGTCGAAACCTCAAAGAAGAAACCCTGTATGGGTTTTTGCGAATCGAGAATAAATTTGTGTTTTTGATGTATCTCAGTGAGCAGATTAGGTTTGTTTTCGAGGATTTGTTTTAATTTGGAAAGAAGGGAAGGGAGGATTAATAAATTAAATTATTTTCTCTTCATAATATTGAATTACTGATTCAGTGATGTGCAAAGAGGTAAAGCGCAATTATTCGATTATTTCTCAGTTAAGACGAAATGTATGTCAAGTATAAAGTATTAAGTATCGTTTTTATTTTACTGAATCATAATAGCTCGTGGTTTGGTTCACGGGAGAGCTGTTGCATTATTATTCAAGGTAATTAATTTAAATTCATTCCATAATTTTATAATAATATTCGTTTAGAATTGATTTCAATTGTGACATATCACATAGATGCATCAAATACAAATTAGAGCAACAACTCGAGAAGAAATTTCAGAGGCCAAAATACGATCAAAACTTATTGACGAGATACTAAACTTCCCACTGTCTCCTGAATACGATCAAAATTCACAAATAATATTACCACCGTATATCATAAGGCAGCAATCAACGCAATTGTCACAAACATCATCTCCACCATCATCATCATCATCGTCATCATCATTACCACAGTCAGCGTTGAATACTCCGAGCTGTAATAGTGAATCGGAACAGCAAAATAAAGTTGATGATATTAATAATCATAATGAGACTGCACATCAACTGCATCAAGAACCTGATGAAAAGTCTGCTACTAATAATAAAAAGAAGAAAAAATTCAGACTCAAAAATTTGTTTTGTTTTTCGTGTAGCCGAAAGCATTACAGCAATTAAATTTATCTTTACTCTTTCTTTTATTATATCAATAAAAAAATTTCAAATACACTAATTCCAAAAAAGTATTGGAAGATTTTTTAAATATTTTATAATTACATGCTTTTATTTGCAGGGCATGCATTCATTCTGATTCACCAAGATTATGGAAGCTTGAAACAGCTACATATACAATTAATATGGTGCATAAAATTTAAAGTCATCAAACATTTGTATTTTATAAAATACATAAACTTCTTTACTAAAAAGTAAATACAAAATTTAATTTGAAAATATGCTCAGAAAAAATCTATTATCACATCTATCTAAAACTTCGTGTAATTAGAGAAAAATTGTAACAATCAGCAGGTGAACTAATTGAATGATTTATAATTAAAGAGTACTTTAAGGATTTTAAAGATCTTTTGTGATAACTTGTACACAAACTAATTAATTCAACAATAGTTTAAAGAAGAATTTTGACTAATAAAAACAACTGAAGGACTTATTAAAATTTTCTATAACAAAAAATAAAATAAAAATGGGTAGAATTTATTAAAACTATTTATAATAAAAAATAAAATAAAAATAGGTAGAACTTATTGAGACTACTTGTAATATAAATAGTAAAGATATGACTTATTTAGAGTAGAGATTTTCTACTACTTTATGCAAGATTTAACAAGTAATATAATTATATAGAGATTTCACAAAATATTATAAACACTTTTTAAAATACAATAATGTAAAAATCAATAAAAACAAAATTTATGATTCTAAGCTAATAAAATCATTGAAATATATTGTATATTATATCAAAATTACAAGTAATTTTGATAACTAGTTCAAAAAATATATATAAATAAAATTTAGTATCAAACTGAAAATTTATGTAAAAAAATATTTTATTTTATAAAGATGCAAATATCTTCATATTCAGTAAACCAAATTAAATAATTTTATATTATCAGATTCATCAAATCAAGATATATTTAATAATATCAAAATTATATAAATTGAATTACTAGATGCAGAGATATAATATCTCAAAAATATCATACAAAAATTGAAATAAAAAATATTTTAAAAAAAATTTTTAAAGAAAATCATTTTTGCAAATATCTCTACATCTAGTGAACCAAATTAGATAATTTTGATATTATTAGATTCACTTAAACAAGATGAATTTGATAATATTAAAATTATCTAATTTGATTAATTAAATGCAGAGATATTTATAAAAAACTATTTTCTTCAAAAAATTTTATTATAGTTTTGTATATTATCTTTGAAATATAATATTTCCGTATCTAATAATTCAAATTAAATTATTAAATATATCTTAACTTGAAAAATTTGTAGATAAAATTTTATTTAATTTGATTTACTAGATATGAAGTTATTTGTATCTTTGTAAAATAATATTTTTTTATATAAATTTCAGTTTGATATTAAATTTTATTTTATATATATTTATATATTTTTTGAATTAGTTATTGAAATTACTTAAAATTTTGATACAATGTACAATATATTTCAATAATTTTATTAGTTTAAAATTATAAATCTTGCTTTTTTATTGATTTTTATTTAATTATATTTTAATAAGTGTTCACAATATTCTGGGAGATTACTATAAATTTGAATATTGATTTTCTTTATCCAAAACCAAAATTGTTAAAATGAATAAAATTTTTTTCTGAAAGTGAAAAACAAAGGTGATAATAGAATTAGAAGAAATATTTCTTTTAGAACTATATCTTTAAAGATAATTATTGATTAGTTTATCAGTAAAAGTATATATTTTATTCATTTATGTGAACAAGTGATTTTACAAAATTGATAGAAAATAAGATTATTTTTAAATAATTTTTAAAAAATTAAATTTTCATAATATTAAAAAAGAATTAGAAAATAGAAAAAGAGAAAATTCAATATTAAACAAGAAATAAATAATAATATAATAATAATAATAATATAATTTTACAGAGAGAGTATCAAAATATTACAATTCTCTAAAACTTCAATTAATTAGAAAAATATTATAATAATTAGCAGGTGAATTAGATTTAAAATATTAAGTTTATTATATTTTTGTATAATAATTTACTGTAATTGATTCTGTAAATTTTACAAACTAAAAAATATACAAATTATTATAATAATTAAATTTAAAAATTAAAAAATTGGATAATTAAGTTTTTTAAAAAATTTGATTACCTGATTTTTTAATAAATAAAAAATCAAATTTTTTGTAAATAAAAATAATTTAAAATTACAAATTAAATATAAAAAATTTAACTTTTAATAGATTTTTTTGATAATTCATGTCTTTTATTATCTAAAATATTTTTGTAATTACTAAAGCTTCTTTTAATATAAATTTTAGAAATAAAAAGTCAAATATAAATTAAAGCTATTTGTGCTAAATTAGATAAAATTCTTTAATATACTTATTAAATTTGTCAAGAAAAAGTTAAAATACTTTAGAAAAAACTAATTTTAAATTATTTATATTTAAATTTGAATTATTTAATTTAGAATTCATTTAATTAAAGAATAAATTACTAATATCATTTTGTAAAAAGCTTGTATTTAATTTAAATAAGTAATTATTAAAAATATAAATAATAAAAAAATAATTATTTTTTAGTATTAAAATTTATGAATATTATTAAATATAATTTTAAAATTAGAAATAACTTAATTAAGTAAATTAAATTTTTCATAATTAATACATTTTTTTTAATTAAATTAAAAATATGTATTAAATAGAAATTATAATATAATGTAAGAATTAAAAGAGAAATAATATTTTTAAAAGATTTTATTATATAATTTGCATTATTAGTAATAAAGAAAATTAAATTTTTATAAAAAATATTATATAAAAATTATATAAAAAATAATTTAAAAAATTATATTATAATTAACAATATCAAAAAAATATATTTTTACTAATTTTGTTTTATTTTCATAAATAAATAAAATATTAGTAATATTATAATCACAAGAATCTATAATTTTATCAATAATAATAAAAATATATTTTTTTATTAATTTTTTTTTTATTTTTTTTACTTTTATTTTATAAACTATTGGTAAATAATATTTTCTTAATTAATTAGCATATATAATTATATTATCTATTAATTAAATTTAAAAGAATTAATATAATAATTATATTTTATAATTTAATAAAATTTTTTAATATTTTATTATTTTTATAATATTTAAAAAAAATGAATAAAGTTTTTCTATTTTTTCAAGTAAAATATTAGTAGTAACAAATATTTTAACTAAATTATAATTAATTTCTTGCTTTTTTTAAAAAAGAAGAAAAAATAATAGTTTTTTAATTATTTTTTATTTTTATGATTTTTGAATTTTAAATAATTATCTAAAATAGATTTTCTATTATAGTTAATTATATGTTTGTATAAAATATAATATAATTTGTTATTATCAATATAAAAATTTTTTTGATATTTGAAATATTTATTTAAAACAAATTTAGATATAGTTATTTTGTTTTTATTTAATTTTTTTTAATTTTGTTTAATTAAATATTAAATTCAATATAATTTTTAAATATAGTAAAAAAAATAATATTATTATTCAAATTAATAATACAAATTTTGATAATTCAATTATTATTTAAAATTTAATAATTATTACTTTTTGATTATTAGTTATATATCATTTAGAATTTTGTATAGATCATTTTGTAATGCAAGTTATAAGATCTATATTATTATGCAAATTATATAACAAATTATATTATAAATTATATGAATTTTGCAAATTCTACAAATATAATAAACTGAATACTTTAGCTAAACTAAATAATTTATAATTAAAAGAGCATTTTAAGAGTTTTAAAAATTTTTTATGACAACTTGTACACAAACTAATTAATTTAACAATAATTTAAAAAAGAATTTTAACTAATAAGAATAATTAAAGAATTTATTAAAACTATATTTAACAAAAGATAAAGTAAAAATGAATAAAATTTATTGAAATTATCTATAACAAAAAATAAAATAAAAACAGATAAAACTTATTAAGACTATCTATAAAAAAAATAGAAATAAGTAAAACTTATTGAGATTATCTATAACAAAATATAAATAGAACTTATTAAAACTATCTATAACAAAAATAATAAAGATATAACTTATTTAGAGTAAAGATTTTTTACTATTTGTATACAAGTTTTAAAGTTAATTAAGTAAAAAGATTTATTAGCAAGCAAGATATTTTATAAGCTAATACTTTTATTGATTAAAATATGTCTTTTTGAGATTTAAGAATATTTATATATATATAAATTTAACTTAATATATCAAATATTATACTAATTATTATTCAAATATTTTTTAAATATCTATATTATATTGTTGAATATTTTTAAATGATTTTTAAATATTTAGATATTATTACTAGTATTTTTCATATATTTTTAGAATAAATATTTTTAAATATTTCAAATATTTTTAATAAATATCTCTAATATTGTTATAATATAACATTTAATAAAAAATTCTATTGGATAATAAAAATATTAATTATTATTAAATGATATCTATTAGTATTTCTATTGGATAATTATTTTTAAATAGCTATTATTTTATTGAATAATTATATTTTAGATATTATTAATTTTTAGATTTGTATTAAAACTAACAATATTAGCAATACTAGCAATATTAGCAATACTTATATTAATAACAATAATAATATTAATGCTTGTATTAATGTTTAATTAAATTAGTAACAATAATAATAGAATCAATTAAATCATATAACATATAATTTTTATATATATACCATATATCTTAGCTTAGGAAAAAGTAGTTAATAACTCAAGAAGTCTCTTGTTTAATATAATTTGTAAAGTTATATTTGTATTAATTTTTGATTTTAAAAGATAAATTGCTTATAATAAATTATTATTATTAACTTAAAAGACAGTTACTTGATAAACTTATTAATTATATCATAATTTTTGAAATTCTAAATAAATATGCAAAACTTAGTGAAGTTATTGAATGTTATTACAATACAAATACACATTATCTATTTTTAGTAATAATTTTTAGTCTCTCTCACTATAAAACTTAGTCTTTTTTGTTTTTTAGTTAATAAAAACATATGATTAGCATGTCAAGAACTTAAGCCTATAAAAATAGTAACAATATTAATAATTATAAAAAAATATTTCAAAGTATTTCAAATATTAATAATAATATAAAGATGTAATTGGATAATTATAATTATAATATTCATGTTAAAATTAAATAAAATTATAAAATTAAAGAAATTAATATATTATAATAATAATATTTACAGATTAAATTTTATATTTACTTTTTAATAAAGAAGTTTATATATTTTATAAAAGATAAATATTTGATAACTTTAGATTTTATATATCATATATATTTAATAAAATTCTTTTCTTTAATTTAATTTTATATTGAATAATTATTTATATTTATATTTATATTAATACAAGATATATAATTAATTTTATTAAATTAAATAATAATTAAAATTTATATAAATTGAAAAAATAATTCATATTGATAAATAAAAATAATATAATTATAATATTTAAATAATAAATTTTTATTTTAAATTTGATATCAATATATAAAGTTTTATTTTTTTGAGTCAACATATTTTTATTATATAATATATTTTATATTTAATTTATATATAATCTATAAGTAGTGAAAAAATATTTATAATTTAACTAATTACATGTATAAAATATTATTATATTTTATAATAATTTAAATATAAAATATATTATTTATATAATTTTAAATTAAATGAAAAATAAATTAAAGATTTTAAAGTTAAATTATTAAAGATAAATAACAATAAACAGCTAAAATAAGTTTAGAAATTATACTAATAACTTCAATATTAAAGATAAATATAATTAAAAGATTTATAAATAAATCAATAACAAATATATTCAAAAATATACTGTTTAATATAAATAATTAAGTGATGATTTGCAAATAATTAATATTAAAAAACTGTATAATAACTTTTTTTGAAACAAAAATAATATTTAAGAACAAAGAAATGAAAACAAATTCATATGAACATGACTTTGATTACTTCAAATCATTTTTTATCAATAAAAAAATAAAATATTTATAAAACAAAATATAAGTATTAAATACAAAGATATGAATAAGATGAAAAATTACAAAAACAAGAATTTCAAATTGAATTAACGTTAACGAATTAACTGATGCAATTATCGATATGATGAAAGAGATTGAGCCAACAAGTTTAGTTGCACAAGATGGTTGGTTTCATATGTCAAAGTTAACATTAAGAAGAGATAAAGTTTTAGTGATCTCCATGATGTACACATGTATAGCTAAGGGCTCTGACATTTATCTATTTTATATAGGACCCCCCAGGTAAGGTATTATTATATCAGCACATATCACGTGATACTAATAAGAGGTAGGTAAAACCCCCACCCCCTAAATATTACCTAATATCGATAATGTCACTGCCCTAATTAGTACTGCATTATTGCGAAATTTATGAATGTTTAACCAACCAAAAAAATATCAATTTACACGACATTTGATTTCAATTCAAAATAAAATTTATAAAAGATAGCGCATACATATCCACACAGGCTTTTCGAACACAGGTTTGTCGTAACAGGCAAGTTAGAAAAAATATGTCGGTTATGTGTTTCTATGCCCAATAGAGTAAGAGCTCGTTCGACTAGTCCCGACAACAAAAGGCAAACACACACTGCAACTGGTGCGCTTATCAGATATAATATTGTTTTTTGTGTTGGGTTTTTTTCGAACACACACACAACGCACACAAACATAATATTTTCCGTTCTAACCACATTATATTTTTTTCTTCTTTCTACTTCATCTCCACTTTAGTTTTCTCGGGCTTTCCTTTTCATTCCTTTGTATACTCTTCTTTTTTTCCGGTATATTCAATAATATATCCGCGCGCGCCCCTATTTCTCACGCCCATTTTCCGCTTGTCAAACTATACATAAAACAGCATTACTTTTTGATTAACCTAATAATATACCACCATGTCCTGCGATTTATCTGATACGGCCATTTCACAAGCGTATGAAGAGATTGTCAGTGGTCAGGATACCAACTGGTGGGTTTTAGATTTTATAAAACTAGACTTGTGTAGTTCGTAGATTGGCGCTATGGGTGCTAGTCTTTAGCAGTGTAGATTATCTATTGATAATATATTATAACGTGTCCATTAAGAAAATTGAACCATCGAGAAAGATTTCAATGAAGCATTCACAACCGAATGAGTATACAATCCCTGGAATTCTTTCAATCGAAGATTTTTGCTTTTTTTTTTTTGGTGATGCGAGTAGAAATACTCAGTAGCAGGAATTATCGAAGATTAATTCAATTATACAATTGTTACTTTATTAGGCTTATTCTCGGCTATCACGACACTCGGGATAAAATTTCCCTTTATTCAAAAGGTACCGGTGGTCTTGATGAACTACGTCAAAATCTCCAAGAAGAAGTACTCTACGGGTTTCTGCGAATTGAGAATCGATTTGTGTTGATAACTTATGTGAGTGAACAAGTCAGGTTAGTACTAATTTTGATCATTTATTGTTTCTTTGATTGGAAGGAAATTTCATGTATATAAACTAATGATGTATTTTTTTTTATTACTTTATGTTGAATTATTATTCCTAATCATGGTTGATAGTGGTGTACGAAGAGGTAAAGCAAGCTTTATGAAATATGTGTTGATATTTTCTTTGATTGATTAACTAATGAATGAAATTTTAAAATAAAGCTCGTGCTTTGGTTCATGGACGAGCTGTTGGTGCTTTATTCAAGGTAAGTTAGAGAATCTCTAGGTTTCCACAATTATTCATCATTGTTCTTGAATACTTTTTTGTCTCAACAACATGGTATCCTAAAATCCGTATGTACCAAAAAATTTTATGTACACACAAACATAAAATGCATAATTTTTACACACATAAAAAACTACCAAAAATTAATTTCCGGCGTTAAGCAGGCACATCAAATCCAAATTAACGCATCAACTCCAGCAGATCTTTTAGAAGAAAAGGTTCGCAGTAAATTGAAGCTCAGCGCATCAGACGATCGACCAAGTTCACCATCTCCGCAACGACAACAAAATCTTCGACAAGGCACATTACCCGGCTCCCCAAAATCCCCGATTGCAAATGATCCAGATCAAGACCTTGCTCCCTATAATGTTAATGGTTCAGAAAATGCGCGGCGAGAGGCCGAAAAGGCTGCTCGTGAAGATGCTGAACGCGAGAAAATTGAAGCGGCACAGAAAAGGGACGCGGAAAAAATTGCGCAGGAGCTGGCAAAGAAACGTGCTTTTGAGGAATCAGAGCGTAAAAAGCAGGAAGCTATTGACAATCAGAAAAAAGAAAAAGCTTTAGCTGAAGCTAGGGTTAGATTGGAGGCAGAGAAAAAAGCTCGCGAAGAGGCTGAAAAGAAACGAAATGAAGAGCTCAGATCCAAATTCGCTGAATTGGAAAAGAGTGGCAAGGTAAGATGTTTTTATTAAATATAATAGTTGACGTAATATGTGTATTAACAAAATTAATTTATTTTTAACCTATATAGGTCCTGCTGGATGGTTATATCACCGTACAAGGCGGAGGAGTTTACGTGAGTTAATTTTTCTTAATAGAAACCAATAATAAAATTATTCTAATCCAGAATATGCCTACTAAATAATTCTATTACGACAGTTCTGGAAACGTCGTTACTTTGAACTACGTGGACAAACTCTATATCTTTTCCGTGACTCGGACGACAAACTTCCGATTTCCAAACTCGAGCTTGATAGTGATGTTTCCGGTGTATCAGACGCACAATCCGAAGTGCTAATACTCAATTCGTTTAAAGTCGATTTTCGATCAACAGAGCCGTACTATTTCTTCTCAGATGACCGAAAAACCAAGGAATCTTTTGTTCAAGCGATAGCGAGATATGTCAAGTAATATTAATAATAATTATTTGCTCAATGATTACCCATTTATACACAAACAAATATGCACATAAATACAAGCGAAAGAAAGATATGCGAGTTATGGGGGAGAAGCTCTCAATTTTTGTGTTGATCATAAAAAGATTATTATTTTTATATAATTACATACATACATATATATAAAAGTGAATTGAAACAAGACTAGATATAACTAGACAGACATATTTATTATTATCAGCATTATACACGAATCTTAGTTTTTATTTATTATTTTTTTTAATATCTTTAATATTTTCCGAATCATCATCCTCCAAGCAATGAAAGCAACATATACACACATTACATACATCCTTCTTCCTGCCTTATTTTTTTTTCTCTTCTGGGTTATGGGTTATAGTAATTTTAGTGAAAAACTACCTAATCATAATTATTATTACAACTTCTTGCTACTAATATCGTTATTGTGCCCTAAACTAATGAAGCTAATGAAGGAATAGCCTTTTTTGGCCGATTAAGTGCGAATAATTCTAAATTATTTGTTAATATTACATAGGGAGGCTAGTTATACTATTGATTTATCTTATTTTTATAATCATTCAAATAAAACAAAACATAGAATACACATCTCAAGACTCGATTTATTAATGCAAATCATCAAAAAGTGTATATACTGTAGATACTGAATTGCACATTACAGGAAAAATCTAAAACATTGATTACTTTCGCTTCTAATTTATAAATGAGACTTCAATTACGTAATTAACAAATATTAATGTTTTGCTCGTAGTGGACAAAATAGATAGAATCAAGGCCTCATTTAATTAGCATAATGAGTTTTAAAAATTTTGAAAAATAAAAAATTTCATACAATGAAATAAAGTAATGCAATATCTTTTTTTTTTTAAATATAAAATACATTTCTAATCCCCACTCTAGGAAAAAAAAATAAGACCAATCACGCACAAAACCCAAACCCAAACCCATACTCGAGAATAAATAAAAAAAATCAATAAATTACATCAAAAATCACAATCAACTCGCTCTAAAAATACCAGTCAACAAATGCCTAAACGAATGAAACTGTTGCTCAGTTGCACTCTTTGGCAACAGAAACTGCACAGTTTTGGTTTCTTGTTCTTTTTCCGCGACATTATGTTTCGGAACTCGCGAGTTCTCAATCATGAATCCTTTGGTACACTTTAGTACTAATTCGCCGCGATTATACATTTTCTTTTCGATGCTCGGATCGGAGAATGCATCGACGCTTGACGGGAGTAGTAGGAATGGGATAGAGATGCTAGTGATGTCGAAGCGGTTGACTGTGCGTAGGATGTTGCGAAGACCGTCGATTCCGGGAGAGCGTTGGGTTAGTTCGGAATTTTGGAGTGCTGGTTGATATGAATAGAATATATGATTATAAACAGATTCTTTGAAATTTATTATCATTGTGTTGATAGTCCATATGCTAAATTTACTCACATTCAAAGTCAATAACCAAATGAAATACAATATGAATTAACGGTAAATTCGAATGTTTGGTAATGAAAAAGTCTCCTAATTGGGATAAAACTTATATTAGAACAAACCGAAATAATACCAGGATAAAGATTTGAACGATTTTTACCTTCTCGTATCGGAGGAACATCCAAATTGTTAGTACTCGGATAATCTTCCTCAATAGTTTTCAGTTGCGTCTCAACATCATCAAAATGAAATTCCGTAGATTTTTTACATCTTTCGAAAAATGCTATTTTTTAGTCGCATATTCGAGTAACGTGACGCATTAAATGTATATCCTATTACTTATAAGATACCAAAGGAAATTATCACAAAATCAAACCTTTATTTGCACTTTTCCCCAGTTTATATTTTGGCCAATCTTTCGGTGTCAGCAACAACACGACAGCCGTCAAATTCTGCGAATATAAATTCGCAGCAGTTTGTGCTCGGTAAGCCATATCACGCGCAGGATCATTCGATGATTTCAATAAATCGTCCATATCAGAGACCAATAAGCGAAGATTGTGTGTAGATTTGACTTGATTGCCGAGCGAGATGGTAAACGATTCGACTAGTTGGGTATCTTCTAATGGACCACGTGCGCCGTCCCTATTATCATATTATTATAGATATATCAAACATATATAGCAACGACAGACTGACACCAGATAGCAATACTCTTAGAAAGAGCAAAGTGGCACATACATACTCATTACCATCATCCAATCCAAAATTCTCCATTGCTTTCCCAAGCCAATTACCAAACTTTCTCGCTGTCGAATTATTATTAGAAGTTAGCATGGACTGTTTGCGTTCCTGCAAAAATGAAAGCGGAGACCAGCCTTTTTTGTTTTCTGGTTTTTGAATAATTAACGAGAGGCTCCGTGCGTGAGATTTGTATCGTCGATGAGCCTGTTTTTCTTGGTCTTTGCCGGCAACGGGAATCGACGGTCGTCGTAGTGGAAGAGCGGGGGCAGCTGCATTTGCGGCTGCTATTTGGGCGTCTACTTTGTTGAGTTGTTCGAATAAAAGGTTTACAGCTTGATCCTAGATTTCAAAATTAGAGTATTAGTAAGCTCTTTGACAGGAGATTGGAGAATTTTTAATAATGTTTTACCATATCACGATTTGTCATCTCAAGAGCCATTTTTGCTTGCTCTGCACTAAATCCAAATCCAATCTCTTTAATTGAAGCTATCATTGATTGAAAAACCGGATCTTCTTCCTAAATATATATTTTAGCATAGGCAACTATGATGCAATCAAATTCTTTATCGAAATAAATATATTGAAACACATACCGCGAAGAAAACCGACTTTTTCTCATCGCCCATCGGAAACCGAGGCGACGGTGGCGTCATCAAAGTCGGGGAAACCATCAGATCTGCCAATGAACTTATACTTCCATGTCGACTACGATTTGAACTTGAACTTTCGTGATTATCCATTTCCAGCATTTCTTTGGAGAGTTTTGGTTGCTGGTTTTTTAGCTCATTGATAACATCCAACACTATATCTTTTCCATTTAGTCCGTAAATCCATGACGGGTCGTTGGAGTTTTGGTTCAAGAGACGTTGGTGCGCCTCGTATAATTTTAGCACAAATTCACAATATTCACGTTTTTGCGAATGTTGCATTTGATCGAGTTCACTTGCCCACATTGCTTGCCTCATTTCAATTTCCTAATGGTAATGTTTATATTTATATTTATATTTATATCTAAACTTATGATAATTAACAAAAACAGTAAGATTAATTTATTTTTTGTACTTACTTCAACATGTCTCGATACTAAATCGGCAAATTCATTTTCCGAATTTTGATCCATCTCTCTTCCATGTCTTTCATATTAAAAATGCATAGAAATTTAGATATACGCATCGTTTATGAATTTCCAATAGCAATGACAGATACATGATATGTTTTTTTAATGAATTCTATTCTAATATTACACACCGACTTTTCTTGATAATTAAACGCACCTCTGGCGTACTTCATTCAATTCTCGTTCCCGCGTTGCCAATAGATCATTCATTGCTTGACTGAAACTTTGTTCTAGTTGTAATAAAGTATCAAAAATCGACGGAACAGGAGAATGCACAAGTGTGTGATACGCTTTTGGAAATATGTCCTAACAGGGAAACGAATTTCTCGTTTACGTTATTAAACAAAAGAAACTGGAATTGAAGAAATTAAATAAATCGTTTTTGTTGTTTTTACCTCTGTAGGTGTATTATTATATCGTATTGTGTGTTTCTGATATTTTTCAATGAGTTCTTTTCGAACTATTTCTGCTTCTCCGTCATTCGTGACTGAGTAAAAAAAATTCTTAGTGAGCAAGGAAATGCTCAGGTGGTTAAATCTATGTAAACAGGTTTCTTTTTACTTTTTCCGTTTAGTTCAGCGTCACCACGCCAACTTTCTTTAAGTAATGACTCGACAACTGACAACACAGAAATCTCCAAGTAACATGGTACATTATTTTCGTCCATAAAATGGCGAACAACGTCCACCAAGAGTTGTCCGTGCTTTACACACAACTTTAAAGAGACCGGTTTATTACTTGATGGAAGAGTGAACTGAAGTTCGACTGACAGGTCCTTGAGAACTTTAGTTGGCGACATTTTTCTTTCTCGGGCAGAACAAAAAAGATATAATTTTTTATATCGATAGTGTAAAATTAAACGACACTAGCCATAATCGGATAGTATCGATCACATGTAGTTAGGGTAAAATATTATTTGTTTACATGTTATTTTATTTTACTCTCAATTCTCAACAGTTAATAAAATGGCTGAAGGCCCACAAATACAGCAGCAGCTACAGCATGAACCATCGCATGAGCCACAAGAATGGATAGATTTACGAAGTGTAGTCGCAGACACTATTACAAGATCCTATGTCAATTTAGGACAAGTGCTTTCGACGTGAGTTTAGTTTTCTTTATACCCATGTGTTTCAGCTTATGTTCTCTTAGTAACTAATACCTTTTTTTAAAAAATACGACAATGAATGAATCAAAAGGCCCAAAAAGAAAATTTCTAAATCTGAACAACAACAACTACAACAACAACAACAACCACAACAACCACAACAACAACAACCACAACCACAACAACAACAACAACAACAGCCAAACCAATCAAATTCACAACTACAAAATAAAAAAAATCTGCTGAATTTTTTAGAGACTAATCGTCAAGAGTTTAGTAAGCTGTATGCTACCGTACAGTTCGCTAAAGATGCGGAAATTATGAGAAAATGCCAGGTGCCTTATTTATTTTTTTGAAAAAGTGATTTGGTGGGGAAGGGCTTATTCAATTTCTCTTTGATATTTATTGATCGGTTGATTCGATGAAAATCCAGGAATATCACAAATCCTTGCAAGGAGAAAAAGTATACAAAGATAAGCTTGTACATGATTGGGGTTTTTACGCGAGCTGGATTCATAATTCAAAGTAAATCTATAATATGGATCATTTACTCTTTTTTTCTGCAACTTTTAATTCACAATTTATTTTTATTACTTGTTGAATTAATAGTGCAAAGAACCCCGATCTTCACACAGCTATAGATGTACTTACAAGTGGTACCTATCAAAGATTTCCTACTGTCATAAAGGTAATTTTCATATATCTACCATTTCAAATTTGAATTTCATTCATAATTTTGCTTAATTTTATAATTTAATTGCTAACGCCAATAAATAATCGCTAACTCCAAACAAATTGTGAAAATAAATAGCAAAAATTAGTCAGAGAGCGTCTGACCGATGAACAAGTCAAAGAGACTCTGGAAAAACAAAATTATGAACTGCAAATGTGGTTGTCGTTATATGAAGTAGTGCCTCCTGCTTTTGCAAATCATAAAGTCTACGATGGCCGTGTTATGTTTCGTGTTGAAAATGAGTTTGAGGTACTTGACTATTCTCAACTTTTTTATTATTATTAAAAAATCAGCACTCATAAAAAAATTATACACTATACAGATTTCTTTAACACGTTGTTTCTACAAACAAAGAACCCCACAACAAAAACTCAAAGAACAACAAGAAAAAGAGCGCAAAATACAACAAGAGGTGGAATTCAAACGAAGACTCGACGATCCTGAAGATCTTACGGCACAATCTGATTTTCAGGCGTATCTACAGGAAAAGAAAAAAGACCCGCGCAAAGTGCCGGTGATAAATGATAAATGGGAGGTGGTGGATCTCAAGTTCTATGTGCATAGTAAACCGGACAAATGGCTTGCACGTAAATACATTTTTTTCGCGTTTTTAAGCAAACTGTCTTAAGAATTTTATGCTTTTTTCTAATTCGATATTGTTTATATATTTGATAGAGACTCCGATGGGATTAGGCCAAAAATTTTTAGACTGGGCCATACTTCGCTCAAATCAGATTTTAACCCCAACAACACCGTTAAAAGAAATACCAGAGAAAATACCAAAAAACAAAGCAAAAGAAGCACAGTCGTATCTGCCTAATTATATGCGAAGGCAAGACACAAAACCGGCTGAATGGTGGGAGAAAGCGTCGACTGCGCCGTTTTTGCCACTTGTCACTTTGCATGATTTTTTGCGTATGTATATTTGTTTTGTTATTTCACGGTGTTTAATACTATTTTTGAGCATTGTAATATCGTTTCTGATTGTATTTTAAAAAAATGTATTGTTTTTTTTTTTTTACTTAGATGAAACGTGTCTTGTGCATCAACTTCATGTTATGAAGACGCAGGTAACTATCAAAAATCTAAATCTTGAAATTATATACTCCATTTCTCTTATTGTAGAATTAATCAAAGTTATTGAATTTATTTGAAAGCTTATACATCTACAGGCAGGAAGATGGATAAATAATATACAGATGGAATTTGACGAGACAAACCCTAGTTCTATTAAAATATACTATTGGCGGTAATTTAATGTTTCCCTCCGTCTATTTTGTTATTTGAACAAAAGTTGTAATAGATAATTTACTGACGATCAAATATTACTTAGATGGAAGCATTTTGCTATGAAAGGCGACAGAAGCGTAAAAGGGATAAACTCTGCTATTCAAAATGAGAAGAAAGCACTCGGTAAAGGATATACAAAAGCTCGCACACATTAAAAAAACTAAACGAAAAAAAATTTAATAATTATTACATTAACAATCATCAGAGACCTATAAAAAGTTTCACGAAAAGGGAAGAGCACCACAAATTCAAGATCCGCCTCAACCATCAACTTCAGACTGGATCGAAATTACTATGATAGACGATTACTCTGAAGAATCGTGTATAAATTTTCATAAAAACAGATTATCTAAAACGAACTACGCGATGGAAACTTCACGAATCAAATTTGGCGGCGTCAGGAATCATCAAGGGCTCGTTTACCCGACTCGACGATTCCAAGTGAAGTGGAGTGGATTTCCTAAATCCAAGGAAAAAAACTCGACACGAATCATTCCATGGAAATTTGTGAGTATAATTTTGCAAAATTAGCATCAAATTAAATTACCAATATTTTTCTAGTTTCGTTTTTTTTTTTTTTTGGTTATTATGTGTTCCCAAATTATAGGATTCAACAAATATCAACATCGAGTATTTACTACTTCATGTTATCAGAACCCACGCAGACCTAGTAATCCGCAAATTCAAGGAAATTGTCACCGATATGCTTAACCGGGGTAATTCGTTTCTGGAAGAAAGTGACATCGAAATCACCCATGGTCGTGATGGTTGTGTATCCTATAATTACTCTGGTTTGATTATTTTTCATTTTTGTTTCGTTTTCTAATAATCTGTCTCCTAATGCTTTAACTTTTTTATATTCCCTATGCCGCCCTTAATTGATATCTTCTCTTCCTTCATCTTCAACTGTCCGTTTCTCTATTACATATATTTATTGATATAGCATTTCGGTTCCCTGACTATAATCAAGATATCGACTACAATGCGAAAAAATATTGGATGACGCCTGTTATGCGTGTTCGTATGACTAGTGATAAATGGATCGATGTAAGTGTGGATCTTCGTCACGGCAAAATCGTGTTTGAGCGAAATCATAAAGGATTTCATAATGGTATGTGTGTATGATTTATGGATATTTGGGTTATATGGAGCTATGTATAAATCTTTAATAATTAATAAATAAACTATTTGAAATAGTCATATTGAAGTCCTGTAATACAGATATCACCGATACGCCTGATACCATTGTTGCTATGTTGTGTCAGCTAAAAAATGAGGTATTTTAAAGGGAAAGAATTTTCAGTTTTTTTTTTTTAATAGTATTTGCTGATATTCAATTTTCGAAAATATCAGACCTTGATGGAAGAAGTCATTGCATGGGCTAAACAGTTGGGATTGCCTATCGATGAAGAGTTGCATCTACGTAGAGGAGGTAAATCCAGCATATTTGTTTATTCTTTATGTTACTATTTCACGTTACGATTGATTAATATTTATTATATTCTAGACATGCAACGTTTCTCGAGTGATACGAGATTCTTCAAGTTCTTTAGATTTATCCCGTATCCCGACTACTACCTTGTGGCTGGAACAATTAATTGTAAATTGCATTATTGGCTGATTTCTATAAAGTAATTAAACATACTATTGTCTTGTCAATTATAAGAATCAATATTGAGTTTTTTTATTGTTATTTTTTGGTGAACAGGGAATTTGAGCGAGAACCTTTGACCTACATAATGGATTACCTAGCGATTAGGCCAAAGCGTACAATCGCAGACATAACTCCATTAAATTTGGATAATTGGAGATCAACGTTCAATTATTCAGAAGAAGATGAGGAAACCCATGAGAATCTTGAAATGAGGCCACGGAAAAAAAGGAGGTTAGATAAATTACAAGAGTTAAAAAATGCTTCGGAGGATAGGTGTGTTTGAATGCTTTCATTTGACGCATACATCGTGATTTTTGATTTAGTTGCCGAATGTAATTACTAAATTTTATATAGATGTGAAGAAAATCTTAATGCTTTGGCCAAAGCAGTTGCTCTTTGTCGGTACGTTCTATTTCCTTTTATGCTCGTTTTTTATCCATAAGATTTATTTTTAACTATACTAATTATTGTGATTATTTTCAGTGCGCACATAGCACACCTAAAATTAGTGCCTCAACTAGCTTCGCATAAACTATCGTACAGCATACCCACTGATGACGATATGTCCACTGTCAACGATCACCGGCACACCACTTTCTACCTCACAAATTCCGTCCCAGTGTTGAAACTTAACAAAAAAGAGCTGTTGGCTCGCGTCCCGAATGCCAATGACAACTCGTTAATAATTTTCGATGATATTTGTATGCGAACGGTCGGGTGGTTGCTGCATAACTCTTTGGCTTGTTCAGTGAGCATGAAATTTTGTTGTTTGTGTATTTGTAAAAACGAATTTACCATATAAACGTGTATGGGGTTTTTTTTGTTATTTTAGCTTGTTGTGAAAATACGTATAAAACTTGATATATTGCCGAGTATTAACAGACATCTGTTTTCTGGTTTGTATAAATAATGTGTGCTTCTAGATCTTTATTCTTTCTTAAATATTGATTTGTTACATATATATTTTTCATACAGATCACGCTAATTTCGATCCAGTCACTTCAGTCTTATCTCTACGATACGAAAATTTAGGAACATGCATCAAAGATTTCCTCAAAGACTGGCATGACATTGTCATGATATCAATATTGGCTCTTCAAGGTATTCTTCTAAGCATAAAATAAATTGATAAAGTTGAGCAAAAAATGAACTTAATAAAGCGTTAATCTTATTCACTAGTACATTCAAATACTCTTCGCGGGAACGAAGAGATTCTGTTAAAATCATTTAACTTCAAGTCACTTGTATTCGTGTATGCAAAGGTGAGTTTGGAGTTTTGTGATGATTAATATATTTTTATTTGTTAATTTAGTTTTATTTGATTTCAGCGATACACGGTGAAAATTTATTGGTCGAATGACTACTATTATCTGGATTTTGAAACAGTGAATAATCATAATAGTCAAGGAGGCAAGAACCCTCATCAACGTATAAAAGACCATTTACAAAAGACGTTCAATTTCCAATGTGATATAAATACTCTTTTAACGGTAATATTATGATAAATGTGTTCTTGATTTTTAATGCTGGTTTTCTCGAGTTGTTATAATAAATTTTGTCTTTTGAACTTGTTAATTAGACATTGAATCGCACGATAAATACTCTGTGCGTGTTAGAAGAACTTGAAAATAAACAAGGATTAGTGGGAGCTCCGCATATCCGCATTATTCCCAAATCAGAAACTTTAATCAGGGTGATTTGGGTTGCTGGTTTACGATCACGGTAATTTAACTTGATTTGTCCATCCACAAAAAAGAAATAACTAATTTTATTATTTATTCAAAAAAAAAAGACCAAATCGTAGAAGAGTTGCAACAAGCAACAGGCCTGCATCAACCAATAATATGGGAATCAACCTCGAGATTCTCGATGATGGTCGAATATATGTGTCAGACGCCACAGTCACACTAACAAAATGGGAAAAAAATCGTCTGCATAAACATGGAAATTTGGTTCCTATTCCTGTAATTATACCTCAAGAGTTGTCACAATTGATCAGTAACAGTGAAGAATCTGTGAAAAGAACTGTTATTGAGTTCGAAAATGGATTTATTGCGGATCATCATTTGGTTGCAAAGTTTTTGCCAGTGTTAAATAGTAGGATTCAGCAACAGCAACAATAATAAATTAATGTAGGTGATAACAGAAGTGAATATAATTAAAGCGAATATTTTCAACCCATTATAAATTATGTTATAATGATGATGTTTACATAAATAACTCTTATTGATGCAATAAATCAATTACTGATATACATTTTGCTCTAAATTGTTGTATGTTTTTCAAATTTATTATTTATTTCAGTGGGATGAAACGGGAAGAGTGAGTGGCACCGATACCTATAAAAAACAATTATTAATAAAAATATACATTATACAACTGAATATATAAAAAGAATTATTTGCGTACCAGGACGACCGTGTTTCACAGGCTTGTATGAGATGGAGAATTCAGCAAGATAGTGACCAATCATATCAGGCTATGTATCCATTTAAGATTTAGAAATCGATTGTTTAGAGTAGAAATCAATCAAAAGCAATCTATATATACCTTGATTTCTACTTGATTAAACGTCTTGCCATTATACACGCCAACTATCGACCCAATCATCTCGGGCACGATAATCATATCACGCAAATGAGTCTTTACCACTGCCGGTTTTTCATTGGGGGGCGCTTCTTTTTTTGCCTTACGAAGCTTCTTGATGAGCCCCATTGGTTTACGCTTTAACCCGCGTTGAAACCTTCGGCGAGCGCGTGCGTGCACTAGCTCCATTAACTGATCATAACACATATAATAAATAAATATCATATATGTCAAGAAATTTGAATAAACGAAACATCGAGGAAAACTTTAAATATCAGAGCAAAATGAAACAAATATCCGACGAAAATTACTATTATTTATAGCAAAATGTGGAGGCTCCACATTCATTTTTACCTGTTCAGAATTCAAATCGAGTAACTGGTCGAGGTCAACCCCTCGATAAGAGAACTTTTTAAATGTTCTCTTCTTTTTTTGTTCGGCAGCTTTTTCGGCATCGTAGTCAGCCTATATTTAAGTATTATCAGTAATAAACCATATAGCATTTCTATATCAATATATCAATTCTTTCGCGAGTAGCTTACCATGTTTCTTCGAGTCGATTTGAAAGAGACAAGAATAATATCGAGAAAATTTTTTGTATTTGGAAACATGTGAACAGCCTCAATTCACGTGATCACTCTCGGCCAACATTAATCTTTTCACCAGCACTACCAACTCTAGGCCAAGTCATTAGGTTAGGATTATGGTTAAAGTGGAGGCCAAGAATATACGTATGTAAAATCGCTAGATTTAGAAATTTTTGTGGCGAGAAATAATTTTGAAAATTTCTCAGTTACACTAAATTATAGATGTGCACCATATAAAAAATAAAAATTTCGTATATTAATTTTTTTGACGATATTCAAAATGGATGACAAAGAACAGAAATCCCACCATCCACGACAAGCTGGTGCAAAGAAAGAGAAAAAGGAGAAAAAACATAAAAAGAGCGATGAGAGACATAATCCGAAAGTGTGTTTTTGTTTTGACAACTAGCATTCCATTAATTACATTATTTCAAGTAGTATTTTATTTATATACTGTGTGCGAAATTTAAAAAAGGCGTTTGCTCCATTCTCTGGACGAAAAGCTGAGAAACTCGCTCGACGAAAGCAAGAACTTAGTCAAAAGAAACTCCATGTTCCGCTTGTTGATAGAACACCTGTTGTACCGCCTCCTGTAATTGTAGCGGTGGTTGGACCGCCTAAAGTATTTATTTAGTTCAAGAAATAAAATTCCGAGTTTTACTGGCACCAGTACTATTTTACACATCTTCATGTTTTGATTCGATTATTAGACCGGCAAAACTACACTGATAAAGTCGCTTGTGAAGCGATATTCTAAACATAATTTGACTGAAGTGAAAGGGCCAATCACCGTTGTTAGTGGTACGTGAGAGATTTGGAATACGTATATTTATTTTGTCATGTTGAATAAATTTTTTATAGGCAAACATCGGCGATTGACATTTATCGAATGTGCGAACGACATGAATTGCATGATTGACATTGCAAAAACTGCAGACTTGGTATTACTATTGATTGATGCAAGCTTTGGCTTTGAAATGGTAATTCAAACTTTTATTTTTCTTCAATATAAACAATCTTACGCTACATAAAAATTCCTATCCACATAGGAAACATTCGAATTTCTCAACATACTCCAAGTCCATGGATTTCCAAAAATCATGGGAGTCCTCACCCACCTCGACAAATTCAGAAATAACAAAACCTTACGCACCACAAAAAAACAACTTAAACACCGATTCTGGACCGAGATCTACCAGGGTGCGAAATTATTCTATCTCTCGGGGATAATCAACGATCGATACCCGAACCAAGAAATTCAGAATTTGTCGCGTTTTATTTCGGTCATGAAGTTTCGACCGTTGATTTGGCGAAATACGCATCCATATTTATTGGCGGATCGTGTTGAGGATTTGACGGATCCGGAGCAAGTTCGGCAGAATCCTATTTGTGATCGGACCGTCACTTTGTATGGATATTTGCGTGGAACTAATTTGAAGACTAATATGAAGGTTGACGTTAATGCTATTCAATAATTGTAAATATGAAGTTTTTTTCAGTTCCTGATATGCAATTGAATTTCGAAGAAAGGTCCATATACCAGGTGCCGGAGATCAACATTTGGCCGATATTTCTGTGCTGCCGGATCCTTGCCCGCTGCCCGATAAAGTACGAAGAAGCTTGAGTGAAAAGCAAAAACTTATTTACGCGCCGATGTCAGAAGTTGGAGGTATTATGTATGATAAAGATGCCGTGTATATTAATGTACCGGGGAATTTCACAAAAAAAGCAGAACAAACAAACAATACAGACGAGAAAACTGGTACGATTTTGTTTATAATGGCCCAATTAATTGATAAACAAATCTCAAATAGTTTGCTGCAATTTAATAATGTTCTATTTGTTAGATCCTAGTCCTCCACAGGGACCTGGCGAAAGAATGGTTATCGAGTTGCAAGATGCCCCTGATACTCTTTCATCAAAATTGGAAGCTAGTGAACTTCGGATTTTTGCTGATTCTGCACCAATAACTGCTGCAAATATTGACGAAGAGGAAAATTCAAAAGGTATTTTTATGTTATATAATAAAAAATAGAGAAAAGATGATGTTAATTTGTATGATTTTTTAGGTCCAATTGAATCGAATGAACAAGACTCTCAAGGGCGTTTTCGTCGAAGAGCAATTTTTCGAGAAAAAGCTAACGGTAGTTTTTCTAGCAAAGATGATTCATTTGATGAAGACTTTGATAAACTGTCTGGTCAATCTAAGTTATATGTGGAAGACAGTGATCAAAACGTAGAAGAGGGATTAAAAGAAGTGGAAGTGGATGAGGATGAGGATGAGGATGAGGATGAGGGTGAAAGTTATAGTAAATTGGAAGAAGAAAATGGTGATTCTTATGAATCAGAAATTGATAATGAAGATGATGACGAAGATGAGGATAATGAGGAGGGTGAAGAAATAAAAGAGGTTTCGCCTGAACAAAATGAGGTGAACAAAAGAGTTGCCTTCACCAAAACTGAAATAAGACTTGATAAAGGAGATGAAAATGAAATTTCTTTCGCCGAAAGTGACAGCGATCTCGGTGATCTTTCCAATAGTGAACTAGAAGACAATAATGATTCAGATATTGACGGTGCGCTACGTTGGAAATCTAAGCTTGCGGAAAAAGCTAAAGAAATGTTTATCGCCAACAGAAGGCAAAATCTCATGCAACTTATTTATGATGATGAGAAGTCGCCCGAGGAGATAATTAATAGTATTAATAATAATAATAATAATATTAATATTAATATTAATATTAATATTAAAACAAAGATGGAACAGGACGAGGATGAAGATGAGGGGGAGGGGGAGGAAGATAGCGATGAATTCTTCTCTATTAAGCGTGAAGATAAAAAAGGCGGATCGCTGAATTCGGTTGATTCTGTTAAAGCTGGTTTTGATGAGATTCATTTGAACGAGTGGGATGAAGAACAAGTATGATTTATTTATTATGTGTGGTTTGTTATTCTCTTGTATATACATGGTTTATTTTAACTTGTTAAATTTTTCAAATTGATAGACTTTACAATCGATAAGAAATCGATTTATAACCGGTAGTTTGGAAGACTCCACGTTCAAAGACGTTGGTGATGATGACAATGACGACGACGACGACGACAACGCCTATGGCGATTTCGAAGATCTAGAAACCGGCAAAATCGTAAAAGCTGTCGATACATCTCTAAAAACCAAAGAGCTACTAGAATTCGAAGAACTCGCACGCAAAAAACAAGAACTCAAAAAAAAGTTCGATGCCGAATACGACAAAGAAGATGATGATGACACAAAATTAGATTACTACGACGAAATAAAAGAAGGGATCGCCAAACAGCTACAGCTAAATCGTGACGAGTTCGAAGAAGACGACGAAGTCACACGTGCTATGGTAGAAGGATTCCGACCTGGCTCGTATGTACGAATATTGCTAAATAATATACCAGCAGAGTTTGTGAAATACTTTGATCCTGTGTATCCGATCATTCTTGGCGGATTGTTGAATACGGAAGAAAATTTGAGTTTTATTCAGGTACGGGAGTCTATTTAAAAAAATTGTACATACAACTTTGGATTTGTATTTTTATACTTTCGGTGGTTTTAATTTTAATATTGTTAATGTAATAGGTACGATTAAAAAGACACAGATGGCATAAAAAAATTCTGAAAACGAATGATCCGCTTATTTTTTCGATGGGTTGGCGGCGGTTTCAAACGATTCCGCTTTATTCCCTTAATGATGGAACACGCGACAGAATGCTCAAATATACACCAGAGCATATGCATTGTATAGCTACTATTTTTGGTATATGGATGGATATTCTATTATTTCTCTGAATTTCAAGAACTTATTTGATATTAATTTCTATATTGTTACATTATTTTTATTGATATAGGTCCTATTCATCCTCCAAACACTGGTTTTTGTGCTGTACAGTCTGTTTCTAATGACAACACGGTAAAAAGTACTTCATTTTATTTAGTTATAATTGATTATCTATCGTCTATGAAAAAAGCCAAACTGTTGTTTCCCCGGCACATTTTCTTAAAGTCAGCTTTTCGTATAAGTGCAACAGGCGTAGTCCTCGACATCAACCACTCAGTTGAAATCGTAAAAAAACTAAAGTTGACTGGCACCCCGTACAAAATCTTCAAAAACACCGCCTTCATCAAGGATATGTTCAATTCTGCGTTGGAAGTAGCAAAATTTGGGGGAGCGGGAATTCGGACTGTTTCTGGAATTCGTGGTCAAGTTAAAAAGCCATTGCCGGTATGTTTTTTTGCCTTTTTTTATATATAATACCGTTTTCTCCTTATTTTGGTGGTATACGTAACACACCACTGACTGCTTGATTCCATTTTATTTGTAGAAACCAGAAGGACACTTTCGCGCTACATTTGAAGATAAGATCTTGATGAGCGGTAATTTTTAAAAGCTTTATTCGATATTTTAACCAAAAGCACGAATTGGAGAAAAAATAAACTCATTTTTTATCGTTAGACATTGTTTTTCTAAGGGCCTGGTACCAAGTCAAACCTAAAAAGTTTTATAATCCCGTCACGTCGTTATTACTTTCCACAAAGACTGATTGGTCGGGGATGCGATTGACTGGGCAACTTCGCAGAGAATACGGGATTCCTACACCATCAAACCCTACTTCAACTTACAGGGTAAATTATTGTTGATTTTTCTTTACTGTGTGAATATATATTTTCCTGCCAGTAAATTATTTTTTGTTTCAATTATTTATTGTTAATAAAAATAGCCTATAGAGCGACCAATCCGTCGATTCAACCCGCTCCTAATACCCAAAAGTCTTCAGTCAGAACTTCCATTTGCATCAAAACCAAAAGACTTGAAAAAACGCTCGAGACCGACATACGTACAAAAACGTGCGGTCGTCTTCGAACCAGAAGAGAAGAAAATCTACACTTTGATGCAGCAGATTCACACCCTCAAAAAAGAGAAAGAGAAAAAGCGTAAAGAGAAACAGGCGATACGGCGGATCGAACATAGCAAAAAAGTGGCGAAACAGGATGCTGTTGTTATGGAAAAAGAAAAAGAAAGTAGGAAACGGTTTTTCAAGATGCAGGGGTTGATGGCTACTAAAAGAAGTGGCGGTGAAAGATCTTCAAAGAAGGCGAAAACGAAACATGTGGATGAATAAATAAATTTAGTTGCTTATTTATTTGTTTGTTAACTTGCTCGATCGTTAATTTATCAATTTGATCGAAAAATGTGACTAATGCATATCTAGGAGGTGATACATATAAATAAATCCTGATTTACCATCTTCACGTCTACAATTCGAAAATGAGTTCTCATTCCAGCAGCAATGATAAGTTAAGACCATTTGTGCATTACCATTGTGCATGTCCGGATGTTTACTCAAGCACTGAATCCTCACTTCTATCCGAAACCGTTGCTGCTTGCACACATCCTACCATTGATTCACCACCGTCTGTGAACTCTTTACGCATACATCACTCCACCTTTCCACTTTCAAAACTATACATTTGTGAAGACTGTCACCAGATTCGGTGTCCACGCTGTATTCAAGAAGAAATTATTTGTTATTATTGTCCGAACTGTTTGTTTGAAGTTCCAACTGCAAGTGTGAAGAGTGAACGGAATAGGTGTGGTATAAAGGTTGAAAGCAATTTTTTTAAAATATATAATTTTTTTAATTTTTTTGGATTGTGAATTATTTTTAAAAGATGTGCGCGTAGCTGTTTTCAGTGTCCTATTTGTCAGAATACCTTGTCTGTAATTGCAAGTGTCGAACCGTCGTCTGCAACCTCACCTACCGTGCCTACTGCTCCTACTGCCCTAACTGCTTCTACTGCCCAGCCTCCTCAGCCTGTCGCCGCGCAAGCTGGCGGAGCACCATACTACTTATTATGTGGTGTATGTCGATGGGACTCGCAAGAGATAAAAATGACTTTTGAAAAGCCCACCGGGTTATCATGTAATTTATTGATTTACTTTATCTACTTTAATAATGATTACGATTCCCATTATTTCACTATATTTATAATATAATATAATATAAAGTGCAGCTACAAACGACAGATGACGAGCGCCCTGACGTCAAAGAATTTGATCATCTCAAAGAACACTTTGAGAAACATTTACGCATGAACACACCATCCACAACACTTCCCACTCAGTTGCTTTCTATTCCGGGCATGGGCACGCTTAGTAGTCGATACGGAACCAATGTAGCTCATTCGCAACAAAAGTCTGATGATGTGAACCCGTACGAGGCTGTTGTACGTGTGGCGGACGATGTAAAGTTAGCAAAAGATTTGAGTCAGTTAAAGGATGTTAATCAGAGTGAGTTTTTATTGTTCTAATTCATTATTATTTTAGTTGAATATGAATAACTTTCTATTATTTTTGAATATAGTTACTACTTTTGCTCAAAGAACAAATCAACTTAGTGATCAGCCGTATCAAGTGGAGTAAGTATTTTAACAAGTGAACGTTTAATTTGATTCGTATTCGTCGAATCTCTAAAGAAAAATGTTGCATTTTTTCATTAAAAAAACATAGTAAACTTCAACCACAACGAATCCACCTAAGAACAAAACGTGTCAAGCGGTGTCGATCATGTCGTCATATTCTTATCAAACCCGAGCAAAAAGCTCAGGCGACAAAATTCAAAATAAAGCTTGTAGCCTTGTAAGTAGTCTATTCTGTTATTATCATGATTCTAGTTAACATCTATTATTGTCTGAATTTCTCTTTTTAAATTCGAATCCGCGTTATTTACACAGAAATTACATTCCAAAAATAACAATTGCCAAATTACCATATTTGGTAATAGACCAAACAGTACAAATCATTCTAAAATTTTCGAATCCACTTCTGGAAGATGCTAATGTTTCGCTTTCTTGTAAAGAAGAGATTGAAAATTTTGGAAAGGTGATTAATTAATTTGTTAATTAACGATTTTTTACTATATTATCTACTATATTAAAAAATATTCTAATTCATTTTCGATCTGACAAAAAAGATTAAATTACTTGCCACAAATTTCACCATAGGACCATATAACGAATTACTAGAATACGACGACGAGGAATTGAGCACTGAAAAGTTGACGTCAAAATCACGGCCAGCGTCACGTGCGTCAATTGTCAAGCCCGATCCTGGAGTTGTAGAGAAAAAGGGAAATTATACGTGTATTGCTATAGAAATAACGCCATTATTCGAAGTTGAAGAATTTAAGGTATTATTTTATTGCGTCTCATTTTCGAATCCACCAATCGTTAATAATCATTATTTCTCATTCCATATAGTTTCCTCTTCTCGTGACACATACAAGTAAAGTACTAGATATTGATGTTGTTGACAACAACGAAACACAACAACACCTTTCTGTTCCAGCAGCTGACACAACACCGGTTGCCTCAGCTGTTAACAGTGTCTCCATCGAAGACGAGAACAATACTGAAAATTCTAAAAAACTCAACTCATTAACAATTTCTCGGGAATTAGGTGCTTCATATAAAAGCCTTAGTTTCTGGACCATAATCGGTCTTGGCCCTGTTCTAAAAGAACCAGTGCCTCCGAGAAGCTCCGAAAAAACCCCCAGTAGTTCGACGACTCCTCAATCAACAGAGAAAACGGAGAAACATTCAAAGAGCAGCAGTATTAGCAGTTCGACGAAACCATCACCATTGAATAAAGTTTCATCGTCCGCAAAATCGTCGTCTACAAAGAGTAGTGGTTCTTCGGTGCAACCTACAAAGCAGATAAAGAAAACTACTACAGTCTATAAGCCCCAATAAAATATATTCATTCTGTTTCTAGTTTTTCCGCGTTAATATAATCTAATTGTATATTATTAAAGCATGTATTATTAAAGCATGTATATTATTCACCACATTTATCAAGTGATCTTAGTATGGGTTGTGTGGCAAACCTATTACTTAATACATTCTTAGAGAATTGGATATCAAAATGATTACATCATTCTTAAAAAGTTGCAAATTCTTTAATCTATTAAGTTGATCAGAGTTGTAAGTATATAAATAATGATATATCACCATAATATTCAAAAAGTTCAAGTGCTTTGAACTGTAAAAAATTTGTATTTAAATATTCAATCATAAAAAAATTATATTATTAGTAATAAAAGTTGCAACTTTTTAATTGATTGTTGTAACTAGTTACAAATTTCTAATTGATTGTTACAAGTTATAATTAGTTAAAATATTATTTTAATTACAAAAAATATTATTGGTACTCAAGAAAAAGCTTAATAATATTTTCAAATGTTATGATTTTTATTCTAGCAATATAATTTGAAGTTAATATTAAAAATAATATTTTAATTATAATAAATAAAAATATTTAAGCATAATATATTGAATTAGCAAATAAATTTATTTTTTTAAATATTATTAATATTATAATTCTTCTATAATTATATTTATAGACATATTTAATTATATTTCTTTATAAATATTCTATTTTGCTTTTTTATTTATATATAAATATAATAAAAAAATCTCTTTATAATTATTTAATTTTGCTTTTTCAAGTATAATAACTATAGAAAAATTTAATTATATTATAAAAATAAAATTAATATGCAAATATTCTTTATTATATATATGATAATATTAATTCTTTTTTCTATGATAATTGATCAGACAAATTACTAATTGTTAATTAATAATTAATTGAATGTTCATATTCATAAAATATTATATTAATATCAGAATTATTAAATATAAAATACAGAAATATATATATTCAATATTATTTAAAAATTTTAAAATTATAAAATCATTTATCTGAAATTGAATTAATATATTATTTGTCAGAAAAAGAAATAAATAATTCTAAATATAATATTTCAAGTATTCAAAAAAAATATTTATAATATAATAATTCAAACAGATATTTATTATTATACTTTTTTATAAATATTATTATATTTTATTTTTATTTATTAATTAAATTAAATAATATTTCAATTATTTAAAACAAAGAAAAAAGAATCTTGAAAGAATTTTAAATTCTAATATATTATTTTTAAATATTTATATATAGCAATTAATATAATTATAAAATCATATATGCAATTTTATTAATAAAATATAATAAAAATTGAAATTTTTATCATATAAAAGTTTTTAATTTTACTATTATTTTTATATTATCAATTATTAAACTAAAATAAAGCTTTTATAATAATTTTTGTTAATAATAATTATTGTATAATTATAATACTGAAATTTACTGTTTTTGTATTATTAATTATTAATTGATAAATATAATTTGCTAATTAATAACAAAATAAAAGTTATTAATTTAAAATTATATTATTTAATTTTTTTAATAAATAATTTAGCCAATAAAACAAAGCTAGAAGAATAAAAAAATAAGTTAACATATTAGTAATTATTTAAAAAATAACTTTTATTTAAATAAATAGATATAATAATATTAAAAAAGAAAATTTTTCAAATTCATATTTTATATTTCACAAAAATTCTATTTTAATATTTCAATAATTTTATTAACAATTTAATTTAAATTAAATATAATTATAAATATAATTATAAAAAATATATTTATAAAGTTTTAATAGATTTTTAAATTTAGTTTTTTTAGAAAAAGCAAAAATTTTTTGTTTTATATTTTATATTAATATATATTATAAACGAATAATTTATTTATAAGAATACTGATATATATTATTTTGATATAAATATCTTCTTTCTCACCTTCAGATAAGATTAGAGCTCTGAAAAGCTCAGCTTGTTGGCTCGCACATGACTTGCATATATATAATTTAATTAATAGAATTTAAACTGATATTATTAAATTACATATAAAATTTAGGCTCAAGAGACTCGAAAGGAGTTCTAGATAAGATCTTTTAGCCAATCAAAGTATTTGTAAATCAGAAATTTGTTTATCATCTTGATCAGCACACAGTCCAAAATGTCATGTGATTTAGCAATCTGTCAAAAGCCACGTGATTCAGCACTATTCCGCGTAGACTTTACAATTACACATGTGAACAAATTATATACATATAATATGATGATGACTATGATAATCGTGCTCATGATGATTATGAAAATGGATTTGATCTTTTACAGACGAATCGTTTTCATTTTTGGTACCGAGAGCGATTAATTGTGAGCCATTCACGCCGTTATAATTATATACATATAATGTAATTATATGTTCGTATTTCAAGTTTGCTCCAAAAATGTGATTTGAAAAATGGTTCTATATAAAATTAATTAATTTGTTATTCGTTTTTGAGAATGATGCAAATATTCTTATGAAGATAGAAAAATCCAAAAGGATTTTATTAATGAATAATATAATTTTGTAATTTTAGTTTTCTCGATAATTTTTAAATATAAAAAAATAATGATATAAAATTCAACAAAAAAATCATTCTGATAAATTGGTTGAACATATGGTTCAAAAGATAAATCACAGACATATCACAGACAATATTGATATAATTAGAATTTGAAATATAAAACCTTCGGAATATGGCCCAGTTTAGATGATTTGCACCATCCTCACAATAATAAATAATGTATGTTATCAGCTTTTTTAATACTATTCAGATTTCGATTTCCTTAATGCCGGTATAGCAAACTGATAAATCGCGTAGCCAATCAACGTCGTAGTCAACAAGCTCCAAAATACAATAACGTAAGTCGGTGCCGGGTGGGGGAACTCTCCACGGCCAAATTTAATGATTATTACGGACTCTGTCATTATCATAGCCATGGAAAGCCATGCTTGTGGTCCGAAGCGCTTGCAATTTCTTTTTTTAATTGGTACAAAATTAATTAATCAAACAATGGTGAATTTAGATTCGTGTTGTTGATTGTATGCCTACGTAAATAATTACAGGACCGCAGGAGTGAATAATAAATTATTTCTCACTTGTCTGTTAAGTATTGGTATGCCTCTCGTACACCAGGCGCAGAACAGAAGAAAAGAAGCGTAGCTCGTATAGCGTTCAATGGATGTTCAGGTGGAATCCACAATAAGTATTTGAGATAGAAAGAATTGATTTCTGCTTGCAGGAACTATACAATTGTATGATTTGATAAGGACAAGTTATATCGTAATGATGATTTCCTAATTAGAAAACACGTATTTTTGGAGAATAAGAATAGGATACAAGAAACAATAATAACAGGACCGCCATAAAATTCTTGAAACTATGCGTAGCACCCCATTCAAATTTCGTCCAACTCTGCGGTGTGAATTGTTGCACTGTTCGTTTAACTTTGCCTTTGAGTGATGGAATTTCTTTTACACCTCGCCACGAATATCCTTTCACTTCAAAGTATTCGCAAGTCTTCATTCCGAGATAAAGTCCAGCCCAGTTGCAAATGAGCACATCGAGGATCCACTTTTGATTATAATATATAAAACTTTTTAATTAATAATTCTGAAATCGTAAAAAATTACAAAACCGGTCAACTCACATGATCCCACCAGCACTCTGCAAAATTAGGCAACTGATGCTGTAACGAATACTCCATAATCTCAAACATGATCGATAGAATCCAACAAAACCAATAATCACGAAGCACCACCGCTTTCGCGTACCAGCCCGTCATATGATATATCACGAAGACGTCCATTTGGTCCTAATCGGAGCAACAACACATCAATCACAATTTATTATTAATAAAAGTGTTGATGTATACAAAAGACCATACATAATATTATCAGATTTATATTTCTTTGACAAGGCGCATGCAGGAGGAGCGTAAAAAATGCGCGCACTTTCATGTTTTGCCATGTCAAGTCACAGTTGTCGGCGTATGAGCGTTCTGGTAATGGGACTCCAAGGGTGGGATCTATACATGCGAATATGTATCTTGCATCGCGTTTGTTCTACACGTGTTTTATTAAATAATGCATATTAATAAATTGTACCTATAAATACCAATTGGTAATAGTGATAATATTACCTGAAACAATAGAAAAACAAGTAGTAATTGATATAACACTCCAATTCCCATTACAATTCGCCAAAATGTGGGATGTGGACGTATAAATGGTCCATCACGAAATTGTAGCATTGCAAATGAGAGGAAGAATCCAATCGCGGCTCCTACTCCTCTATATATATATTAATCGAAAATAATAGTAGTAGTAGTGAATTAACATATGTACTGTTAAATAATTTAAAAATTTCTTTTTGCCTATTAGTAGTGAGAGATATCAAATTCCATGATGATATCGAATATTAATGTGTATAAAATAGTAGACTCACATTTTGATATTCATGGCGGTATCATCCGCCTCTGGTGACAGAGCAAAATATACGAGGGCGACTAGCATTGCCGTTAATACCGTAAGCGTGCGAGGCTTATCTTTGTTAAGCGAGGAAAAAAAGTTCAGTCTACTACCTATATGCCACAATTTAAAACCTATAATACAGCATGAAAACTACTCACAAAAAAATTCCACGGCAGGATCAATAACCATGTGTGAAGCAGGTTGAACTCGTAATGATCGTGCATTAAGTGGGTCTTTTAGCGAATTCGAAAATTGTTCGCTTTTTAAATATTCTGCCGAATTTGAGCTCATTTTTACATCAATAATCTAACAAAGGTAAATATGGAGTAAATCTAACTGACGTGAATGATTTAACAGAACGGGAATTTTTCTTAATGTTAACGTTTTTTTAAAGTTGAAGATCGCAATATTGAAACTTCCATAAATGGTAAGAAAGTGTCATTTTTTTAATAGAAAATGAATGTACCATTAGCGTTGGTTGATTATGATTCCTCGGCTGAAAATTCAGATTCGAAAGAGGAAAATGAAGTTAGAAAATTTAGTAGTGGAAAGCGTGGTAGAGGTCAAGAAGAGGAAGAAGAGGAAAACAAAGAGTTAAGGTACTCTTTCTTTATTGTAAAAAAGTTTATTAAGTTTGAAGTTAATATTCGATATATGCAAAAATATAAGAAGAAAGAAACAAGTTGCAAAACAAGACCTTCCGCCATTACCAAGCGAATTCTTGGAATTATTTACAGGTTCGAATATTTATCCTTTTAACTTAACATTATTATGAAAATTTCTTTTTAACGAATTTCTATGTAATTTCAATAGTAGAAAGGAAAAAAGAAATCGATGATACTAACAAGCACGAGGGTCGGATAAGAACTGTTCCACATGTCGAAGGAAATTGGGCGACGCATGTTTTCGTCGAAAGTACGTATATATGACTGTGTATTATGTACAAAAAATATATATTCAAGAAATAAGAAATGTGATATTAATTATAGTGAAAATCGATAGAGGTTTTGACGATATAATACAAAAAATCAAGAATAAGGCACAGAATGTTATCTCTCAAGAAGGACGAGATTTTAAAATTTATTCTTGTATTGAAAGAGATGAGGATAAAAGAAAGATTGAGGAGGAAAATCTTGAGTCAAAGTCACCTGGAGAAAATGAAATTGATATTCTCGATTCTTCTTCAAATTATCCGTCATATACTCTTTACGAAGCAGCAGCAACTGATGATGCTGACACAAGATCGTTACACATAAGTCTATCACGACCGATTTTCTTAAAGTACCATCAGATCAAAAGTTTCTGGGAAAAAATACGGAACGCGGTTCAGGATAGTAAAAGGTAATTAGACAATACTAACCAAGCAAGCGAGATTTATGTGAAATATATAACTTTTTTTTTCTTATGGCTCGTAAGCCTAATAAATAAATTAATAAATTAAAAGGTTTTCATTATCGTTCGCGAAGATCGAGCACTTTGTCAACGATGAAAAAACACGTTCCTTTTTGGCATTGGAAGTCGGCAAAGGATATAATGAGGTAAGAAACCAATAGAATTTTTGTCTTTTTGTGCGGGTTGGATTATGTTGGATATTTGGAGTTGAAGAAACTAATTTACGCGATCTAACTTATCACAAAAACGCGTAAATTTCATTTAATAGTTGAATGCTTTGCTTGATAGGATTAATCGTATAGTCGCCGATTTCAAACAAAAGCGATTTTATAAGGCATGTATATAACATCCTATCAAATACGCACCCACTCTCCTCATTGTTAATTTTTCTGATATTATAGATTCCGCGTTTTCACGCTAGCATTCTCTGGTGGTCTCCAGGAGACACAGCAACAGCACTCTGCGATTCAATCATTGCTGCTGCTGCGGCATATGGAGATAAAATACGCGAGGAAATATTTATAATAGATAGTATACGATGTAAAATTGGGAATAAAGAATTCACTCAAAATTTATTATAAAACTAGAATCATATAAATAATTATTAACCAGATCTAATATCAAAATCATCGAGTAAATTATATTGTAGCTATGCTGATTTGTCCAAATAAAAATGGCTAATAGCCTAAAATAGAATGATATGTATATATGTGTTACAATAAATTCACGCTTTGTCTTTTTATGCCTTTACCGCATAGCGACCAGTGTCACTTTCAGTATTAGAAATCATTTCTGATATTATTTTTTGTAATGTGGCTGATTCGTCGGGTCGAGGATGACTCATCTATCACAAAAAGAAATTTTAATTTCACAATAGCATATATAAATCCCAAAGTAAAAAATAAATCTCTCTCACCTCTCCAATATCATAAACATGCACACGACCATCCGAAGCACCAATAGCCACTCTTCTTCCATCTTTGTCCCAGTTAAGCTTGTTAAGTGCCCTACCACCACCGACTTGTGTGCTTACAACAGGAATCTAAAATCAAGGAATTATTAATAGTCAAAAATATTATTTAGATAAAAAGTAAGGAACAAAATAGAAAAATAGTAAACAAAAAAAATTATTACCTCAGTATCAGAGTTCAAGTTCCACAAGGCAAACTTTCCAGTACCATCAACAGATGCAAATAATGCTGGATGATTAGGCGACCATTTTACATCATACACGTAATCATCTGCACCCTCAAACGAGTGCAAAGAACTGATTATATTTTTTGCATTGGCTGGTTTCGATATTGACTATATATATATTTCAATTATCAAACTAATAATATTATTAAATTCGTACGCATAAATTAATTTCCTCACCTTAGATCGCCATAATTTAACTGTCCAATCAACTGAAGAAGTCAAAAAAAGATCTGAAAAATCAACTTGTCCTACAAGAGGATGGAATTGGAGACCAGTCACCGGACCCCAATGTCCCCTGTAGTAGTCATATTGGTTGATTCCTGCTTTGCTATGATTTTAGTATTCAAATAAATCCTATTAGATTGATCAAAGTAATAATAACCGATTAAAATGTATTTACCTTCCAGCTCGATCAAATCGATTTGCTTGATACACATCTCCTTCTTCTGTCCCAACCCAAAAAGCTGTTGTCTCATTATCAGGGAAACCTAATGCTGTTACGGACACTTCATCTGTTTTAGCATGTGTTGGATGCACAAGTTCCAAAGTTTCCTACTCAAAAATAATTTAATAATGGCTTAATTCCGTGGATTCTTTTAAACTGACTTTGAACCTATATATGATATTGCAATTATCAATAACTTACCTGAGGTTGAGCTAACATATCTAATTGCCATGAACAGATCAATCCATCAGTACTAGCACTGACAAGATTATGTGCATTTTGTGTTCCTACCATTTGCATTGAATAAACGGGATGTGTATGTCCTGCGGAAGAAAGCGGTGTTTTTAATACTGGTAGAGATTTTGCTCTGGTGTCCCAAAGAACAATTTGTCCTGAGTATGTTCCTCCAATAATGAGATTTGGATTGAAATTAGAGTAAGTGGTGGTGAGGACGTCGGACTTTATTACAGATAAAGATTCATGATTCAATAAATTCAAATGATTATGACAGAAATTTAGATTCAATATTTGAATTGAGCTTTACCTGGGAATGGAAAACAAACTCAGGACGTTCTAGTAAATGTATATTCCAAACAAGAACAATTCCATCCGGTTCATTCATTGACATGGGATTTTTGTTGTATGAAGCAATACTAAGTTCCGGACACTAAGACCGAAAACAGCAAAAAATAAATTATTAAAATAGAATAGTAAACGCGAAATTCAATATTTTAAAAATTACCTTGCGTGACCAGCAGACATCTGTAACTGATCGATTCTTTGACCATTTATCATCAAAGAAAGTACACACTAATTTGACACGAGAAAGAGAATCTTCATCCCCACTATACCAGACAATATGTTCGGGGTTGAATAATAATAGTAATTTGTAACTGTGATTTTAAGAATAAAAAAATCCTCACCTGTCAAGATCTGCACTTTCACTATAATTAGTAATTATATCATATGTTTCATTGAGCGCTCTTAACGCAACTTTTGTTGAATAGTCGATAAATTTGGTAAATTCAACGGAATGAATAATCTTGTCTCTTTCCTTATCATTCAAATCTATTAATAAATTATTTCGGTTATTTGTCAAAATTTGTAAAGGTCTACAATAATGAATCAATATTTAATTAACCTTTAGCTAACTGGACTTTTTTCTGTTTATCCAATTCTTCTTTTCGTTTTTTTTCTTCTTCCTCTTTCCTGGCTTTTTCTTCAGCTTCGAATTCAGCTTTGACCTTTTCATAGATTTCATTTTCGGAAGGCGGTTGTGGTCCAAACGATGTGGCAGTAGTTTGGACTTCTTTTCCATAGAATACTTTTTCCTATAAAAATTGACAAAGATCAACATGTATTCGTCAAAAAATAGAGAATATTGAAAATTACCTTGGGAGCAATATCAAGTATAATGGTTTCAAAATGAGTAAAATCCGGTATGAATCTCGCACTTGGTATAGCAGGACTTGAACGAAAAAAATCCAAAATGAACAAAATTCATCAAAATCAACTAAAAAACGTATAAAACAGAAAACTGTACCTTTGCGGCATAGACGAAACAGGAGACGACAACTGCCCCAACACCGGTTTTTGCACATATGAAGGAGCATAAGAACTGCCTCCTTTATCAGACCCGTTATCAGAGTCACCAGGTGACGTATTAGTGACAGGAGTTTCAGACTTCTCTTTATCGTTTTTATTAAGTAATGAGTTCACCAGTTCATCAACTTCGTTTCGATCGTTTCGACGGCTCCGCTCTGCGGTCGGAGCCTGACCAGCAGTAGTATTATTGTTGGAGAGGGGGATTAACGGTGGCTGTTGGACTTTTGTGGTGGCAACAATACCTAATTGCATAAAATTTGCGTAAAGACTTTTTTGAATTACCGGTTTATCTTTTGTTTTTGCTCTGTCAATGCATGCTTACGTTCCTCTCGGGCACGCCGAAGTTCCGCGAGTTTTTGTCGTTTCTTTTCGAGTTCTTCCTTACGGCGTTCCATGGTTAATAAAAAGCGCAATATTATACAATTTGTTCTGATTCGAATAATTGCAGATTTCAAGAATATTTATGGGTGTATCACGCGATTCCGACACCATCCTGCATAATATTAAATAAAGTTTCGGTTAGAGTTAGATTAGGTTTAGGTTTAGGTTTAAGGTTATTGTATAGCAAACGTATAGTAAATTTCGCAAGGAATTTTTTGCGGCCGATTATATAAAAAATACCCAAGAAAAAAAACTATGAATAAAATATAGTAAAACTAAAATTTTTATCTTAAATGAAAGTTTTCAATTTTATTAATAAATATTTTTTTATTTTTATATCAAAATAAAGATTATACTTATATTTTAACATATTTTTTAGATTTGATCTAACAAAACGGTTCTAATTACAAAGTTATTGTAAAAATTTTTCATAATTAAAACATAAAATTAATTTTTGCAATAACTTTATGTTAATATAAATCTAACGTATTTATGATTTGCATGTCGGTTCATTGGAAAGACGACCCTAATCCATTAAAACAAATTTGTCTTGTCGATGTTGAAACTGCACCAGATCCTCGCTGGACCACGATTATATGCGGATCCCAGATCAACTTACTAAAGGCTTTTGCATTATGTTGGAAGCTTTTAGCTCCAGATATACAAGTAGGTTTTAATGATTCACAATATGACTGGAGATTTATTGTGGAGAAAGCGAAAAAGTTAGGGGTTCTCGAATGGATGTTCAATCAAATGTCATTAAAACCTTCGAGCCTCGAAAAAATTACAAAATGGCAATATCAGTATAATGAGATAAAAGTTAATGATATGCCTTTTCATTCAAAACATCTTAAAATTCCTGGGTGCGTAGCTATTGATGTCCGCCCTTGCTTTATGAAATTATATTCTAAGGCCGAAAAGAGTAGTTTAGCGTTCTACCTAAATGAATGTGGGCTCGAAAGTAAAATGGGCATGCCTTTTCACCGCATGTTTAAATATTATAGAAATGCACTAAAAAAGGCAGATGCCACAACTGCTGAACAAATGCGCAAAATAGCCGAATATTGTATCATTGATGTTCTTAGTTGCCAGCGGTTAATGATTAAGCGCAATGTAATTAACGAATATAGGGAGGTTGCAAGCATAGCCTTTCTATCATTGTTCGATGCGCATTATTTTGCAGGGAGGATGAAGGTATGTAACCTTTTAGGCGCCAGTGCATGGCAGAATGGGATCCTAACCAGCACAATCTCAATAGAGCAAACTGAAACTGGGAAGTACCCTGGTGCCTACGTCTTCCCACCAATAAAGGGGCTAGAAAATAGACGTCCTGTAACCGGTTTGGACTTCGCATCATTATATCCAAATCTTATTATAACGTATAATCTCTCACCCGATAAGATTATTTTATCAGAAGAGCAAGCTCTATCCGTAGAATGTAGTGGAAAGAAACTTCATAAGATTGAATTTCTATTCAATGGTAACCCTATACACGCCTGGTCTGTTCGGCATAATAATATTTCTAAAGACAAGGGTCTCTATGCTAATGTGCTGGAATATCTATCTGGCAAACGGAATGAGATGAAAAAGCGTCTCGCCCCTTTGAAAGCAAAAAAGGAAGATATGAAACTGGTAGTAAGTTCATTGGGCTTGGACGAAAGTTTATCATTATCAGAAGCTATTGAGCAAGTCTTAGCAAATGCGAAGGAAGAAAAACGCACTGGTCTTACTAAAAATTTATATCACTTTATTAATCAGGAAAAGCATGAATTCATGGCAGAATATGATTCTGTTTGTTTCGACTGCTCTTGCTTAGATGCGAAACAATATGCTTTTAAGGTATATATGAATACATTTTATGGCACTGCCGGAGATAGTAAATCTCCTTTCTTCTTACGTGAACTTGCAGGAGGCGTCACGTCAGCTGGGCAGAAAAACATCAAGCTTGTCGCAGATTTCGTTAAAAATAAGGGATTCGGGATAAAATATGGTGATACTGATTCCTTATATCTCGTCTGTCCAGAAGAATCTTTCCAGGAATGTGACGAGGCTTACAACAATGGCAGGATCTTGAAAGAAGAATATTGGTCTCGAATGGTGGAAATATCTATGGAAGAAATAGAGAAACTCCGTGATGGAGTTAATGAATTTCTCAGGAAAGATAACGGATCATCTTATCTCAAAATGGCATATGAGGAAGTTTTATTTCCGGTAGTATTTACTGGAAAGAAAAAATACTACGGCATTCCACATGAAAGTAAGCCAAACTTTAATAACAAGCCTTTCATTCGGGGAGTTGAGATTGTAAAGCGGGGGCAGTCTAGTATTTTCCGAAAAACAGGAAAACGTATTATGGAAGAGTCTATGAGAGTAAACAATATATGCACCTTGCATCAGATTTTGGAGGACGTGATCAAAGAGACTATAAATGATATCTCACAGAAAGATCTTAATGAAATGATTAAAACTGCTGTGTGGAGGCCTGATAAAAATAACAAAAGTGAACAGCGTTTCATTTCACGAATGCGAGATAGACATACCCGTGAAGAAGCGGATGCCAAACGGCGCATAAAAAAGGGCCTAACACCTGAGCTTTATCTTTATGAAATCCCAGAACCAGGCGAGCGGTTTGAATATGTTGTAGTTGAGAATGATTCATCAGAGAGGGTGGGTGACAAAATGGAGTACCCAGAAGTGGTAAGACGACTTGGTAAGAAGATTGATGCTAACTATTATCTGAAAACCGTTGTTGGCCTCCCTCAATCAAAGATATCGGGAGGAAATGTAAACTAGCTTTTTACAGATTCGAAATGTGATCTGTTATATTTTTTTGAGCAATGCGAAGAAAAAAGGGATTTCTTTTGGACGGCACTTTTTGTAACCTCTTTGGAGCTGATATTTAACCTCATCATAGAGCTTCTTTGATCCTCATAAGTCATTCAATTCACATTGTTCTTACAATAAAATGTACTCGTCAATGTCCATGCAAATCTGTAATAATGTATATTTCAGCTTTCTATCGCAATAGAAAAACAAGCTCGGCGTGAGCAAATGATAAAATTCTTTATTAATAATGGTTATATAGTGGTTATATTGCACATTTGTAAAGAAACAAAAAGAAAGATATATCACATAATCTAAGAAATTGTTATGGGTATTGATATCTTGATTTTTGTCAGGATCGGAGGATGTCTAAAAGTATTGCCTTAAAATCGTGTTGTTTATATAATATAGCTAGTACGTAATAATTGTAATTATTCTAATTAATCTAATCCATTATTTTCAGCATCAGCTTGCAAGGGTAATTTTTTTTGGATGTCGTTAAAGATCGGCTGGCTAAAAAATTGTGTTAGCATTCGCTTTGTTTTATATTTGAATATTTCTTCTTCGGTCATAGTATCAAAAAAATCTTCCATTGGAGCTATATCTGAACTTACATTAGGAGCCACAATGTGTTTAAGTTTCATTCTTTTTGGCAATGGTTCTTCTATTTCTGCTTCCTGTTGATCCAATTCCTGGTCCGCCAGACTCATATTATGTTTTATGAGTGCCACAGCCGAATCTCTGGGAAGTTTGAGTGCCTTTATCCTTCCCTCCTCTAGCCAATAAAAACGCCAATCGTCATTGAGGTCGGTTAATACTGCCAAAACAGAATATATGGATTTCAAGTCTGCAGTTATTAATTCTGCCATAACTTGATACGTATCTGCTTTTACAATAGCCTTCTTTAACTCAAAAAGAATTCGGATATGTTTCTCTGGCATTTGGAGAGCAATAGAATGCATGTCTACTATGGCTACATCTGTTGTATCGGAGAGTTTAATTGGTAGGATATCATTGCCTGTACTAAGGAGGGAGGTTTCGTTGGTTGCATCACAAAGCCCGAGTCCCCGAAATGTGGCTATTTGGAGTAACGTTCTGAGATGATTTAAGTAACCCTGTTCCCCGTCTCTTTGTGCTCTTTCCGTAAGATCGCTCCATTGAAAAGCATTAGTCCTCTCCGTAGTCAACTCTATGTCAAGATCTGTCATTGCTTCGTAATCAAGACCAAGATATGATTGAATCCTTTCCCAACTCTCATAGTTTACACTTGATATGTTGACTTCAGATTTCTCTTTCTTCATATCTTTAATATCCTTCTTCATTTCTTTAATATCATTGCGCATTTCTTCATTGGCAGATCCTCTATTAGTAGCTGAGCTATGAATGAAAGAATAGTGATGTTATCATTACAGTTCTGTTTTTCTGCTTGTCGAAGTTAAGGCAATAGTTCGTAAGATCCACTTACCATCAGGTACCTCGACAATGATGTGAATGTGATTGTCGGCAGGTGCTGTAGTAAAGATTGCTTCAACTTTTCTTGTAGGCATCAACAACTGTCCACCTAAATCATTCGCAATGTTGGCATTTGGATCTGTGAGAGCGGTTCTTTGGGGGTTTTGCGTATTAAGATCGATATCAACTTGATATAAAGTGAGGTCCTTTGCTTTTACATGTTCGGGAACCTCAACTTCTTCCTTCCATATGACTTTTCTTAAATCGTCAACGGTCGTATTCTTATCATATTTAATCCCGAATACAGAAACTTCTGGATCCCCGTGGACTAGACAGTAAATTGGTACCTTTTTAGGTGGCATGGTGATGCAAAAATACGGTTCAAGAAAGATTTTTTTTAAAAAAGCAGGAGTGGGTCATCATTTATAGTTGTACATGCTGATCGAACAACAAATGAAATCGATGTACAAGTCATGATTTACAATATAAAAAAGTGTCATACGTGACCTCATTTCACAGTCTAATATCAGGTGATAAATGAGAAGATTCTTCACGGTACTATCGTACATGCGAGCGATAAAAAAATAACAAGACTAAGCCACTGTACATGACGAAATTTCTATGCTATGATCGCGAACTTGAGTTTATTGCTTGAAGTGTTGCAGGTAAGGCAATATTCCAACTTATCTTTGGAATACAATTTCGCTAATTCAGGATCATAAGGGAGCTGATTCCCATTTTCGCAGTACCATGAACCATGTAATCCATAATTCCCATGTTTTCCATCACAAATAGGGCATGGTGAACTCCACGGCTGAGGTGATGTAAAATCATAATTATCAATCCCTCTGAAACTATTTCCGAATTTCAAGTATGGGAAGTGCTCTAAGACGGATTTGATAATTAATTCTGGATCGGGTCTAGCTTCGAAAGTGATGAGCCCTTTTTCTTGACATTGCTCACCGGAGGAGGGAAAAGATAAATCGGATACTTTGTTTTCTGGCGAATTTATGACTTCTGATTTATGTACTTCTGATAGTTGCCATGGCTCATTTCCAGTTTCTTTTTTATATCTTTTGTATAATTTGGAACGAATTTTATCTGTCAAAATACTTGGTAACCCAGTTAATTTGGCATGCCAATCCAGATAATTGGCGGTTAGTATTTTAACAGACTCGGTCATTTTCCTTTTTATATGATTGCAAACAATTTAAATCCCTTTTTTCTCATATAGACCTATTCATTCGAAAAAAAATATTAAAATTCCCAGACTATTGTAAAGCGATGAGACTACGCAACTATCTCAATTTCACGCTGTTCACATTTAATAAAGTAAGATCCTGCTTTATACCTACCTTCTATTTCTTCATCATCATGACCTAATTTGCATAGTGGGCAGATATAGTCCCCGCATGACATCTCATCAGTAATCCCATAATAATCGAAATTTTCACTACTACATTCTCTATATATATTAGGATATTGATCCAATATCTTGTTGCGAAAATAGGAATGATCATAAGCTGGCTTAGATTGGGATGCAGATGATACACTTGCTTGAAACATGTCTGATGAAATCATTTCTGGTGAAGCATTTGGCTGAGAGAATGCTGGTACTTCAGCTGGTGTGGTTTGAGATGCATTTACGATTTTTTCGCTAGTTATATGACCCATGCTCAGCAGTGTGATCGGAGCAGTTGTGTCACTAGTGATCATTTCCGAAGTCACATGACTCTGATCGTAAACATTGTTCACGGTTTTATTGGTGACAGTTAAGTTCACTCGATCTATAATGTATTGAATTTGAAGGTTAGTGAGTCTGTACTCGTACTACTGGTTGTGCAAGGCACTGGAAATTATATGAAAAAAATATGAAAAAAAGACCATGCCTGGTTTGTGGATTTCCTACTGATGCTGATTCGGGGTATTGCGCCAAATATTGTTCCAAATATTCTGCAAATTATCATGCAATGAATTATCGAATAAGACAGAAGTATGGGGCTGTTGCCCTTCAACCCGAAATCCCCTCTGAATTGTCTGCCGAGGAGTGAGCAAAAAATATTATTCCATTCATTATATAAAATTTTGGCAGAAGCCTACGTCTCAAAAGTATGTGACTATGTATCCTGGCTAGAGTGTCGCAAGAATAGATATTTTTTACCGATAGATGTAGCCTTCTGCGGAATTATATTATATAAAAATGGCAGAAGGCTACACATATCAAATAGTATTAGCACATATCGAATAAGTCCTGAATATCTTCTGTGATTTGCGTATTATCCACTTTGCTAGAACTAGTGAAATTATCTAATATTAATCCATCGGGTGGAAATTTACTATACCCATACCGAGTATCTTCCCCATTTTCCCAATAAATTTCTCCACCCATTTGATATGAAGGTAATCTAGGAGCGTCTTTAGTATCAAATAATCCATCTAGGCGGTAATACCTGCGACTTCTATCTATAGCCTTAAATTTCAACCCATAAGTTGCATGAAGTGCTGAATTCAGTAAACCAAGTTTTGCCCGATCTGTTTTCAATCCCGATTTTTTAGCTCTGCGTGATGCATCTGCATTATCAAATACCCGAGCCATTCTGGGAAATAAATCATGGAGATATGATAATGATTCAGGAGAATTCAGACGCATCTTAACATTATCAGATTTATATCTGGCTCTATCATCGATATCTCTAGCTGGTGTGCAAATTCTAGGCAAATTCGATGCCTCTCAGCCCGGGTTGCAGTTGTGAGCCTATCTTCTCTGTAATCTTTACGGGATATAGCCTCAACGGCCGTTTCATTGTTAGTACCAGCATCTCGTAATTGCTTCTAAGCCCTAAACCATTTCATGTGATTGTAATTCCCATACTTTGAGATGAAATTCTCGGTCAATGATTCAGACGAAATCTCATAACAATCCACAATATGATGCCGGTCTAAAGAGCGCATCTCTTCTAAAGTCTTCTTTGGTTTATTCTCCAATAATTCGGCAGTCTCACGATCGACAATAGTAGCATTAGATACATCTGCTATCTCCTCTGCTTTAATGGTAGAGAAACTCGCCTTCACTGTTTGGGATAGTGACATCGTAGTATCTTCAGGTTTAGGAATGAGTTCCATGACAGAAATTACCATACCCGCATTTCGGAGAAAATCAACCATCCTCCAACCAAATAAGTGCCGGGAACGGAATCTTTCCAACATATAGGCCACCCATAAACGAACAGTTGGTACGTCCTTATTCCGGATGATAGAGTCTATATCTGGAAATATTCCTCTATTCTGAAGTTCCCGGGGGAGACATTCGCGTTTGGCATTCAACAACCATTGGAATAATCCATTCTCTGTGACTGGAACGTTAGAAGATCTCTGCTCAATATGGCATATATAATCTTTAATGCACCGCATGCGGAATAACATCTGATTCGTTCCGGCATTTGTTTCTATGTAGCTATTAAAAAGACAGAATGCTCGCTCAAACTTTGGATTAGTGCAAGATACTCCTATTTTTAGAGTACTAGTATACGCAACAAGATCCACATCACTCCATGATTCTTCTACGTTGCTGAAATCCTGAGCTTTTTCCATTGGATCGGATTTGCCATGATATTCCTTGATTCGTAATTCTGGAAAATCGGTCTTGAGAGCACGAACAATCCCTTGTACGTCCTTTCTGAGATGGCAGATAAGTGAAGCACTTTTCCGATTCTCAAACGGTAGTGAAGACATTTTCTTGGCCCAATCCCAGAGTTCGGCTAACACAGTTTCTTTATTAGGAGCCAAGCGGAAGGTCTTACCTTTCTGAGGCTGATAAGTATTGTGGATAACTGAGAATGGTTTATCCTTACGAAGGGCCTTAATCCATTCGATATTTAGATCAGTTAGATCATTATCCATGACGATAATGCGCCTTGCGTCTTGAACCAATTTATATAACTTTTCTATCGATTGTCCGGCCAAATGACTCTGTGCCTGAGCAATTATAGACACTATTTCATCAAGCCACAAATCGTATTTGATTGGAGGGCATTTGCATTTTTTATTACATTTACAATTATTGGTAATACGATGTAAGCTTTCTATCTGACATACTACCCTCTTGTGATCAGGTAGATTTATACTACCATCGATATCACAATATGATTTGAGATTGAGTCTTGTAGTAACAGCATTCGAGTAAGAGTGGCGCGTGGATAATACTAGCAAATTCACGTCGTCAGATATAGTAAGATGCTGTCTTCCAAGGTGATCCTACATAGATATCACCTTCATTGGGTAATGGTCTTACATATCTCTCATCATATATTTCTGTCGCTGTAAGGGTTTCATTATACTTAACCCAAGATGGTATTTTTATGAAGGCTTTAGGAAAACCTAGACCCTTTATCCTGTGAGAGGCGGGAGATAAATTTTTATTTTCTTTCTGAATTTTTCTGCAATAGATGGGTCGCATTCAAAAACTTCCCCGCGCTCATCACTATTTTGCCGAAAGCATTTTACGATGAACATCCCACTGCTAACACATACACGACCGAACCACCGCTGATCCTTGTCATGTATGCGTTTACATTGTGGACATTCTAGTTGAGCTTTCCGGTTAAATATACGAAGTTTTCTGAGTCCTTTTCTTCGATAGTCCACTCCCTAAGATAGTTAGAATGTCTCTGCAAAACAAGGTCCGCGCATTTTTGTAATATATCATGACTACGATTATTCTTAGTGTATTGTTATTTTTTTCTGTGCTAAGTAATCGGGGTCTTACTTCAAACCCTAAGCTAGTAGGTGGCTGAACTCTAGTATGATTGAGGTCATTCCACCCATTATCTAGTGAGAATTGAAGAATGCGCTTCACACGACCTTTTTTTGCTGAACTGATAAGGCGAAGGTTAAAATTCTGACCAGGTAATCCTCGATCAATATACTTACCAAATTTCTCCCCGGTTAAGGTATATACTAATTCTGTGAATGCTTTGAGTTCATGATGATCGATAAGGAGAGCCGGTGCATATAAAACGTGGCAGCTACACTTGCTAGGGTCTGATGATGTAGCGATTACCAATCCCCTGAGAATATCTTCCCAGCTACAATCAAGAATTCGATACAAAGCTCTTATGAAAGATAAACAGATTCGAATGAATACTTCTTGTGCCTTAACACCATTTGCTTCCATATCTTCTTGTAAAGCATCTATATCGATTACGGCTCTTAAAGGGTTTTGACCGTTAATACATTCATGAATCCCAGGCAAGCCGTATACTTCAGAAATATCATCTGCAACGGAAAACGTTGGGGATCGATCACCATCTTGGTCGATTTTGATAACCAATTTATCTTCCACTTCATCCCGGTCATAAGCATTATATAAACTAGACCCTTTTTCATTCGGAAAGAGAAATGAATAGATTGGGAGACATTCCAATGACCCCTTTCATCTGACATATCTCTAGGTGGTGATAGGAAAATTTCTCGAATGACATTTAGCAAGTCCTTGGAAGAAAAATTATCATTAAACTTTTCCTGCCTTAAAGTATATGCCACATTAATCTTTCGCTCTTTTACATTTGGTGGTTGAACCAATGGAGTCTTGATTGCTGGTTGAAGCGCAGGGAGCTTCTTCATTATCCGACTCATAATTAGACTCATAGTCATTATAATCATCTGACCCTAAGTCGGATCTATTATCAGTACAACTGCTTGAGTCACTTAAATATTCATCGGGGTCGGCGCCGTCGTAGCGGGCGGTTCCGGTGCGATCAGTTTGGTCGAAAATAGTTGAAGTATGCATGTCGTTAGTTTAAAAAGGTTTATATTACTTTATAAAATTCGGAAATGTTTAATTATTTTTTTGATGAATGCAAAAAAGAAGCGATATCGAACTTAGTCGGCAAATCATAAAAGAAATACAACTTGGTATACCCTAAAAAGTGTAGCCTTCTGCGTAATCTATTATATAAAAATTGGCAGAAGGCTACACTTTCTAGACATGTACTCGGGTATGGTGTAAATGGGCCGGCCATGATAATACGTAATGCAACTGAAAGTGAAGGTATCTGCGGAATTATTATATAAAAATATGGCAGATGCCTTCACTTTTCTAGATATGTACTCAGGTATAGTATAGCCTCCGCGTAAGACTTATCCTTCCTAGATATGTATCCGGATATGATATGAAGGCTTCTTCGGAAATATTGGCACTTGGCTACTCTATCATTAGTATGAATTCAGGAAAGTGGCAACCGGATATACATCCAGAAGATAAGTCTTCTTCGGCCTCACTCTTGGTGTCAAATAGGAGGTCAGAAACAGAATTAAACCTAGCCGGTAATATTGTGTAAGTAAAAGTATTACCACTTATTGTGATTTTTATTTCATATATGCATTATCACAAAATGGGGATAATGTATATACGAAATAAAAGTTACAAGAAGGTGACGGGAAAGTACCCGGAACTAAAGACGCAGTAAAATTAACGAAAATTTTGGCCAACACTATTCCATGATTTCGGCCAGAACTTTGAACATAATAATTCTGCATCCAAGCTGGTGAACTAATAGGAACCTCTCTGATATCCTGGCAGTTCCTCACTAGTTCCATGACAGCTCCAAGTCGCTATCATGGTGCCAGCTTGAATCCTTCAAATCACATGTTCTAAAGATCGACCAAAATTATGATATAGTGCCGGCCGAAATTAACCACGAATTTACTGCGCCATCCAACACCATATTTTTTTATCACATTTTGATATCTAGAAAGGCAACCAAATAGATACAAAGGGTAAGCACTCCAATATAGAATCCAGCACCCAACCAGGTACAGGAGATCAGCATCCTCAACATAAAACCAGATATCTAAACAACTATAAAGAACCAACAACTTCATTAAAGAATTTAACATGTAAACAACTCAGAAACAAGAAGAAAAGCGTGGTATTTAGATTATATAGTGATAGTTAGGTTAAATAATGGGTGGTAGTTAGATTATATAGTGGTAAAAAATACAAATAGCAAAAAAGATTTAAAAGGATAGCTAGAGTATAAAAAAGATATCTGATATGCGAAAATAAATAGATTATATGATGATAATTAGATTATATTATTTAGATTATATGGTGATAATTAGATTATATTATTTAGATCATATGGTGATAATCAGATTATATAGTGGTATTTAGATTATATGATAATATCCAGATTATATAAGTAGGATACCATCATGTGATATAATTATATAAATCTAAAAAAAGGTAACAATATGTTCTTGTTGTAATGAGCTAAAATAATTTTACTTAAACTTTTACTAAATTTCTTTATAATTTTAAAGATAATAATTCAAGGTAATAAGTCTTCCAAGTGATTATTTTTCAAGTTAAATATAACAATTGATTATTTAATAGTGTTACCGTTTTGATGGAGCTTTCGAAATACTCAAAGGTATTTATAAAATTTAAGGAATATTCAAAGGGAAACTTCC